CCTCTATGACACTTGATGCCAAGTGCTAGCTCAAAAAGTACCGTAAGCGAGCATAAGCGAGCTCACTTGCAAACCCCGCACTATCATTAAAAACTGGCAACCACCAAAACACACAACTTCACTTCACTAACGGCTCGTCGTATACACTTGTATACACTTAACTACGGTCCGTCGTCAGAGAGGTTTCCGTCGTCGTCGTCATCTCCGTCAGTCTCGTCGTCACTGCAAACAACGAGGCTGGTCTTTCGTTCCACTTGACTTGGTGCTGCAGGACGCGGTTGGTTAACCGCTGTCGAACTGGTGGCTCGAGTCCTCGACAAGCCCTTGATCTTGTTGAGCTCCTCCAGGATGTCGCGCCACGTCTCGTTCGCTGCTCGTCTGGCATCCTTCTTGTTTAAGCATGCGGCCGAAATGGCCAGCTTTCCACGCACGTAAATGCTGCAAGCCTTGAGTGGAGGGGCCTTTTTCATTGAGATCGAGACCTACAGCCGCGTAGTACAAAATACAAAAGGATTAACTGACAATAATATCAATTCAAGGAATAAATCCAAGCACTTACCTTGTCCTTATTGCTCGACTGCGTCTCGTTGCCGGCTTCCAGTTTCTTCGCCTTCAACTGCTTCTCGTTGAGTCGTTTGGCCCAGCGCGTCTTCTGCACAAGACGCTTGTTGTAGGTAGCGAGGAACAGCCCCCACATGTTGAGAAGTTGATCCAATCTGCTGACGAGAGTCGAGATGGCTTTATCTAGCGCATCCTTTGCAGACATTGCTCGGCCACAAGCCTCGTCGACCACATTCTCGGTCACTGAGAGCACACAGCTAACGTCTCCATTTTCTTTTTTCGTCGTTGTCCGGCAGATCTGAATCAATGCAACAGTAAAAAAATGTAAGAACCATACAACAACAAAGGTTAGATTTAGAGCTCTTACCGAAAAACCCGAAGGAAGCGAAATTGTTTCCGTCTTGGCGCTCAAATCCCACACGATGCCTCTCACAGCTCCGATCACCTTGTCCCGATCGAGGAACAGAAGCCGTAGCAGCTTCTGATAAACTTCTGCCTTTGTCTTGTCAGCTTCATCTTCGGTGCGAGGAACGGCTTCACGTTTCTGGTTAACTCCACTGCGATCTTCAGTGAAAAGGCTTGCTGCATCTCTCTCCACCAGTAGCTTTGGCTCTATATTCTCATACGACGAAGAAGCTGCGAGCGCGTCGGCGTCCACTGGGTTTCGCTCATATTGCCGTTTGCGTTCGGGTTCGTTATCTGGGTTTCGCTCATATTGACGATTCATTCCGCAATCGTGGTCCTGCTCAATGGAATGGCAAGCCGGGCGCATGCACTGGAGCTGGCACTTCTTGCAGCGTTGGACGCATCTCTTGAAAAGCGCCTCGAACGGAGAGAGGTGCGTCTGCTCGATCTTCTCCCATTCATCCACGAATCGTTCTGCCCCCAAGAAATCCTTCACCCAAAGCGCCACCTTGGCCTTGCGACGGCTAACCAAGAACGAGAGGAAAGTATTAAAGTTGTCGTAGTCGCTCGCGCAGATTCGATCGAACTCGCCCTTCTCAGCTTTCGCCAGGTAACGCCGGAAAAGTGCCACGAGCGTCAAGTGAACGGCCTCATTGTCAACTTTTCTCTCTCCTCAGCGCAGACGAAGGGGCCAAAGTCAATACTTTCGTCGGTAATTCCATGCAAGGACACCTGCTGATTAACACTGTTCCAGCCTTGTAGTAGATTCGCATGGTCGCGACCCAGCTCGTCCAAGCACAACAAGACCGAACTTCGTGCCTGGCACAGTACCGACTGCTTCATGTACTGCGGCGGGCTTTCATCCTTTGAGTGATAATCCAAAGGGATCAAGCACCCAGTGCGGATGACGCCTGGCGACTTCCGCAGGAGATCATTCATCTGCAGTTTATCGGACCCCTCGTTGACTCCAGTCCAATCCAAGATAGAGATTTTCGCCAGAACAAGACGAATAGTGTCGTGGAACGAGCGACCGGTTTTGAACCTCCGCGCCTTTGACCGCTTCTGGTCGCTGATTGCTTGCTCAATCCATTGACGCGCATGGCGAAGCGAATCATTGTATCCCGTGGATCGGAAGGGGGGCGAGCAATTGACGGTCACTTGGCCCGACTACATTTCCGTCACGAAATTCTGGTCCGGGTTAGCCTCCAAAAGTGCTTGAATCTTGCGTTGAAACTCGGAAACAACGCCTCCACCATCGTCCGGATTGATGTCCTTCACGCTCATGTACAGCATCCCCTGAAAAAGACGCTCGTTGTCCTTCAGAAGGCCAATTCCCTTCTGAAACATCGTGAACAGACCGTCAATTTCTTTGTCCATTCGCATCTCGGTACGGAAAACCGTAAACATGGACAACGAGGCGTTCAATATCGCAAGGAAAACATCTTCCTGGTCCGTCCGCTCAAACGACCCCAGTCCTTCGAAGTCGAGAATCACAAACATGACATTCTGCATGATGCGTAGCGTCATCCAGGCTCCATCCGTGCACCGGTTCCCTGCGATAGCGAATGAGGACCCCGTTAAATGGTTCAGGAAGTAGCTCTTGCCCGTCGACTACTTCCCCATGGACGTAATAACCACACACCGACCTTCCCAAGCTCGCAACATCGGAGACAAGAGACCAAAGCGGATGGATTCGGCGATATCCGCCGACTCCCACGTCGAAAACTCCGCGTCAAGGCTATCGGGCGGTTGGTCCACTCCGTCTACCAGGACGGTCAGTGCATTCGCCTCTGTGCGGCAGATCTGGATCGGTAGAAAAGTGATAAGCGTCTGAAGAAACGAATCCAGAGGCTTCACCGCCGTGACTTCACACAGCGAGGCACGCTGAACGCGGAGATTTTTCGTTAAATCCAATCCGCTCAGCTCCTTGTTGAGCGCCATTAGATCGCTCATCACCAAGGAAAGGAAATCGTGGCAAGCCTCAAGAGCGGTGGGACCACCAGCATCTGCATCAACCAGACAAGTCACGAGAATGTCCACCGGAGTCTTGGCTTCATCGTCCAGCAGACCGATTACTGGGAACTTCTCGAAGACGTGGTAAAACGTGTACAGCCAGTGCTGCTTGCGCAGACATAGACCGCCGTTCGCTTCCGTTCCTGAGGTCTTCTTGTCTTCATCCTTTCGAACCCGGAAGGACCCGCTCCTGACACTGACGTGGATAGAGAAGATAGATATCTGCCGCGCCACGGGGTCCAGTACGAACACCGTGTCATCAGTACACTGAACGCTCACTCCTTCGGACAGGAAGCTCTTGTCTAGCTGCAGAGTTGGCAGCTGTCGGTAATCCTCGCGAGAAATGACCGACAGATCTGCGACAAAAGACCCATCGCCAGTCGGCTTTAGCGACAAAGTCCCATGCGCGAGATTATCAGCGAAGCCCATAAGTCGGCTACGAGAGGCGTTCGTCTCGGCAGATTTATGCTTGAAGGCCTCGATGACGGTCGAAGTTTGGTCACTATGGGTGTCTATACTTTGTGATAACCCACCGGAATCCGTCACGTACAGTGCATTGTCCAACAAAAAGATGTCGGTGAAGGGCATCGCCGTCAGCGTCGAGCACATTCCCAGCTCCACCGCTTTGACGCGCTCCATGCTCTTGAATGACTCGTCAAACTTGTAGATCCCCACCGAGTCCTCCGATAGGAACGCGATTACTCGACTCCGAGCGTCAAAGTCACAGACAGACGCGCGCTTTCCAAACGTGCGTATGATGGTCTCTTTTGCCAATGGAGAGCGCCGAACCTCGCAGGCACGAGGGAATTGCAGCAGCTTAATGCACATGCGCTCTTTCCCCACAACAACTTGAACCGCCGATCGCACCTTGACAGTGAACATCGCAACGTGCTTCTCGTTAGGGTTCAACAAGTGTTGGCCATGAACCTCCACCCGTCCACTGGTATTGTCCGCCTTTGCATTAATCTCCAGCTTCGCGATCTCGTTGAACGCGGTGGCGGGCGCTAGCACCTCCCTCGTGCCCTCACAAGAGATCAACCCCTTCTGTGCACTCGCAGTAAGCTTCAGTAGCAGCGCATTCTTTGCGAGTAAACCCTCGCGCAACTCATCGAATTGGTTTTGCACGATCTGTCGCGAGACTTTGTCCAGATCCGACTTCTGTTTCTGCTTTTGCTTCCGCTTCAGAGCTTCAAGCCTGGCCGATTTAGCTGCTTCCAGCCTGTTCTCAACTACGAGAACCCACTTCGACCGCAGCGCGGACAAAGGTTCAGCCATTCTCTCCATAAGCGATTCTGCATCAGCGATACGTCGTTCACCTTGGCCAGACCCCCGACAGTTAGCAACGGCTTGGTCAAACTCCTCTTTACTGGACGTGGCACACAGTTCCAACAACTCGCCAAGATCAACGCGTTGGTTTTGCGCGTAAAGCTTGGGAAGAGCAGTCTGGACGACTTGAAGGCGGACAGGGATGTCCAGCGCCAGTCGTGACTTGTGATCAATCTTCCGGTTGTCCGTCGATCTGACCCACTCAAGAAAAGTTTGGTATCTCTGCAAAGCTTGAGCTTTCGCTGAATCTGCGGTATTGTCAGGGCTGAGCTGAAAGAGCGCGTTCGACGCGCCATCCACGAGCAGCCGTTGCTGCGCAATGTCATCCTCAATGTGCTGCAGATTGAGCTCGTACTTCTCCTGCTGCTGCTTCGAGTGTGCACTGCGAGCGCTCTTTACCTTCTCACCAGGCCACACGTCAAACTCCCGGAGAATGCTCTCGCAGAGCTTTGGTGACCGCCCAATAGTTCCACTCAAATCGATGCGGTAGTGCTGCGACTCGGCCTTCAACCAAGCTGCGAAAGACACCTGTGCCTTCGCTGGAAATGTTCGTCGGAATGGGTCGCTCCGGACTGTCGACTCCATTGTTTTTGTCATTGCAATGGCTGGATAGCTCCCTTTCAGCATGCACGCGTCCGAAGACCCTTCCAGAAGTTCCCCCAAATCGACAGAGCTCACTTGCTTGCACTCGGTTGCGTCCTTCTTGTCATTTTGCTTCTCGACATGGAACGAGACCGAGTACATGGACAGCTTCTCGTCCTGCTGCTTCTCGTACTCGGTCATGGCAGTCTTCAATCTCACCAGGTCCGACTTCGATGTGCAGCACACGACGTCTGGCGCCAAGACGGTGAGGAACCGCAGCACAAACGCAGGAGTGTCGCGGAGTGCTTTCGGTTCAAATAGTTCGTCTTGGATCCACGAGAAGACGACGAGTCCAGCGACGTCTTCTTCGACAGCTCCAACCTACTCACCGCCGCCACCTTGAATCTTGGCGCAGTAGACCCCTTCCGAGGGCTTCTTTAGCGATGCAGCCGTCTCAGCCGAGCACGCGCCCATAGCGACCAGAGCGGATGCAACCTCATTTTGCTTGCCGAAGACGGCCTTGAACTTCACTTTACTATTATTTGCTTCACCGAACAGACCATTGCGGAGGAAAGGGATGACATCCTCGTCGAATTCTCCGGCCTGGAGCACGCCAAATTCGAAGTCTTTGGGGTTCACAGACGACATCACGCCGAAGCTGCGGCACAAACGCAGCACCTCCAACTCGTCCAGGACAGGCTTGACCACCTCCACCTCGCACTGCGTTTCGCGAACGAGTCTCATTAAGCGAAAGCGACAATCGCGAGGCAATTGGCCGTTGCCACCTTCGCCAGCGTTCATCGTCGATTGGGGCGCGCTCAGCTTTGCCCTCTAGCCAGCAAATTCAGGTTTAACCAGCCCGCAAATCATTGCAACCACCGAGTCACGTACTTTCAGCTCGTAATGGTTTGCCGAGTTCTGGAGAACTTGCAGCTTCTGCCAGTTGATGCACCCTGTCGCCCATGGCTTCACAACGGCCATTGAATTATACGGCGTGTGTGAAGATTCTTCACTGAAGAACACAACTCGCCGGGCAGAACTTGAAGCCGTCGAGGTCTGGGCCACGCAGCAAGTAGTACTATGCTACTAGTATTTGCCATATACACTCATGCCCCTTATGGCAGCTTGTGTGTTGTGAAACCTGACGGGGATGCCAACCTAAAACTGGGAAGCTGCGATTCGTACCATCTCTTTGTCGCCCCCAAAAGCATGGCGGCAGCCATCGCCTTCGACAAGAACTTGAGTCTCTGGCGTGTGAAGGTCGCTCTGGCGGCTCGGAAGCTGCTGTCGCTTGGACGTGCTTTCGAGGTTGAGTATTCGCTGCCTAGTGAGGCAGTTGACGAGCTCAAGTTTCTCAACTTCGGCCTCCGCGTCGCTGCCGTTGTGGGCTCGCACGTGTTTCAAGTCTCGGAGACCACGAGCGAGCCCCCACGCTTCCCGATGGAGTGCAAGGACAGCGTGGCGGGCAGATCAACCTACAGCCACCCCATCTGCACGATTGAAGCCGGCGACTACTTGGTTGGTATCGGGACGGGGGACCGTCTCAAGGAGGTGGCGCAGGACGTAGCGACGCTAGGAGCAGAGGCTAGTGTCAAGCAGGAGCAGAGCAAGAGTGGCAAGAAGACCGTCGTGTTCCGCTTTGTGCGTATGGAGGCGACTGTGCGTGATGATCCGAGGCTGGGCCGCACGCCAGGGAGGATATTGCGGATTCTCGACGAGGTAGACACCAGCTGTGGACTATTGATGCCAAGGTACGAGCTGCTCGTTGCGCAGGGCCAAGATGCAGCGGAACAGTTGCAGGTCGCGAGGGAATTGCTCAAGTCAAGATCATAAGCAGCGAAACCAGAAAATCCGTGATGAAGGATCGGAAATTCCAGTTTGCAGCCAAGTTTCGCGACTGGTATGCAGGCATTAAGAGGAATTTAGAAGAGGGAGTTACCGTAGTCAACAAGACGCAAACGCACCAATTGCCGCAGAACGTGGTGGACCAGACGACATCGCCAAAGTTACCGCTTAACGACAGCTACAGCCGCAATTCCCCAGCAAATTCGAGTCTCACTTCAATTTTGCGTCGGAGCAGCGCGCCTGGAGCACCAAGGAATGCCTCAACGAAGCGGGTCACTTTCGCTATGGATCTCCAGCAAAATTCTTCGAAGAAACGAGTGACTTTCGCCCCAGATGTGAAAGGTTCTACTCCAGAGGCGCAGCGCTATGATGCTCCGAAAGCACCCAAGCCCAAAATTGCTGGAGTGGGGGAGAGTCGAGTCTACCTGCGAACGTTGCTCGGGTCAAATATCGTGCAGTCGCTGCAGCAAATACCATTGTCGGAGGTACTGAAGGACCAAGAAATCAGGCTGAGTGAGGAGCTAAAGGTAACTTTCTCTTCCTGTTGTTGATTTTATTTTCTAGCACGCGACTGACAGTAAGTTTTTGTCATAATTATTTGACCAGCTTCTGAGCAAGATACGAAAGATTGGACACTTGGAGTACAGGGCTCTCATTCGGTTCGGGCCCGTATCGGTCGATGTCACGGCTTCAAGGGATCGAAAATCCGCCAAAGAAGCGCTTTGGCAACTGACAGCAGAGGTGGCCGAGCACCAGAAGCTGTACGGCGAGATGATGGAGTACTTAAAGAGCGAGTACGGCTTCTGCAAGGCCAACTGCACTCGAGATGTCAAGGACGACGTCTTCAACTACCTCATTGACAAAAACATTGTGCGGGTAAGTCTGAATATCGGAGATGGGGTTGTTTAGAGAGAAAAAATATTATCCTAACACTACAGCGTTGTTGTGTTTGCAGCTCCAGAAGAGGGTTCTTGGAGATCCTGGTAACATTACTTTTGATGTTGTGGCGACTATAAAGACGCTGTCGCTTGCTCGCAGGCAAGGGTCGTCGCTATCGAGCGCAAAAAGCGAGGCTGCTGATGCACTTCTGCAGTTTCTATTGGAGTTGGTGGATCAGCACGAGGAGAGTCAGGCTCTTGAGCGCGTCGAGCAGAGCCAACCCTCCCAGCACAAACACACCTACAAGTACAATGGCACACAAAGGACAAGCAGGGATTATCCTGAAGCTGATCAATTGAGGTCTGCTCGCAAGCGTCAATATGAGCGAAACCCAGATAACGAACCCGAACGCAAACGGCAATATGTGCAGTCCGTCGTCTGAAACCAGCTACACTAATGACACTAATACGGAGAGCTCAGCGGCGTACAGGGATCACCAGAGATTGGGTCGTTCAGAAGGAGGTCGAGGCGCCAGGCGCATTTGTGTTCGATGAAAAGAACCAAATTGTGGTGTATCGCACGCAGGAGCGACTAAAGATCTTCATCCCAGCCGAGGACATCGAGATCCAGAACACGGTCCTCTGGGAACTACACGACATTGCTACAGCAGGCCACCCAGGCGTTGAAAAGACAAGTCAAGCTGTCGCCGAACGCTTCTACTGGAGAAAATGGCAGAAACGCGTAAAAGAGTACGTGGCGACGTGTGAATCCTGTCAACGGAACAAGTCGCGGCCCGGAAAACCTCCAGGGTTACTGCACCCACTAGAAGTCCCTACGGCTCGATGGTCCTCGATTGGCATCGACTTCATGACGGGTCTACCAAAGACAAGCACCGAGTTCGACTCAATCATGGTCGTTGCAGATCGACTGACAAAAAGGGCCCATTTCGTACCAACTGCGAGTGACATATCTGCGGAATCGCTGGCAAAACTTTTTATCGATCACTACGTGTGTCTACATGGACTGCCAGCAGACATCACGTCGGATCGAGACTCCAAATTTACGTCTAAGTTCTGGGGAGAGTGCGCAAAATTGCTGGGGACCAAGCTGAATCTGGCAACGGCTCACCACCAGCGCACGGATGGGCAAGTTGAACGGACAAATGCTATCTTGTCAACCTACCTCCGGCACTATGTAAGCGGCTATCAGAACGACTGGGATGTCCACTTGGTGCTGGCAGAATTTGCCTACAATCGCCAGTACCAGGCGACGATCGGCATGTCTCCATTCTACGCGGATATTGGGTACAACCCGCGCGTTCCAGCAGATACTCAACTTGCGGACCTCGAAAAAACACCGGCAGTGGCGTTTGTACAACAGCAGGACAAGATCCTCCGAGAGTTACAGGCCAAGGTTCGCATGGGAGCTGAAGAAATGAAGCTTCTGTCTGATCGAGGGCGACGAGACCATAAATTCGACGTGGGCGACATGGTTTTGATCTCCACCAAGAACTTCAACCCAGTGACGGTCGGGGCGGTCAGGAGAAAATTCGCAGCCAAGTGGGTTGGGCCCTACGAAGTTATCGCAGTGTTGCACGACGGCGCGTCCTATGAGCTAAATCTGCCAAAGGAGTTGGGCATTCACCCGGTTTTCCACACCATGGTGCTGAAAAAATTCCGGAAAGACACTACCGGCGCTCAGCGTGACAGCACCATCCCCACGGTTCGACTCAAGGACGGCACAGAAGGTCATCTGATCGAGACGATTCTGGACCATCGCATCACAAAAGAGGGCAAGGAGACGTACAAGTGCAAGTGGGTGGGTCGCAGTGACGATGTTACCTGGGAGCCGACCTCAATTTGCTGTCAGTACCAGGGCTCATTCGCGAATACCATCGACGAGCCAACAATTTGCCGACAAGATCATCAGAGCGACTTCGTTCAAGAACCAAGCACGGGTCGAATGGAGTTCGACTAGTCCAACAATATTTCGAGCGGGGAAGTTTACTTCAACGGAGGTCGTGTCACGGAACTAAACTGTTCCGTGAAGGTAAGTTTGTAGAAGAAAGCAACGGACGACCCTAAAGGCAAAGATCGTGAAGCCACTCGAGCCGAGACCTCGAAACCACTCGAGAAGATCTCGCGACCCTCGGCAGTAGGTAGAGCTAGCGAGCCCCCACAATACACACTTTGATATTTTCCCTCTATTGCACAAGTCCTGCCAACAACGTCTACAAGCTCAGTATCGCCTGGCGGAGTCCCTGTCAAAGTCCTCCGTCCGTATCCTTCTCCTACGCTTCCTCCGACCGCAACGTGGTGCCCCTAAACGAAGTCCTGTCTGGACGGGGGTTCACCATATTTGCAACATGTGTGTTTTGGTGGTGGGCAGTGTTTGATGAAAAGAAGGGAGAGTGTGGGGTGCAAGTGAGCTCGCGTATGCTCGATTATGGTACCTTCTTTGACGAGCTGCACTTGGTAGCCAAGTGCTACTCACGAAGGTACCATCTGATCCGGCGGTATCTGATACCCGGAAGTCAAGATCCAGCAGCTGGAGGCCTCCGGGATGTGCGCTCCCCCCCCCTCGGAGCCTGTAGGACACAGAGAACACACAGAACACAGAGAACAGTAAGAGTCTAATGTCAGTTTGGGATTAGCACAGCTTGTGTAATCTGAGCAGACAGATCAAAGTAGACTTTAGTACTGTGCTGCGCAGGCGCAGACTCCGCGTGACACGAAGACACGCGTGACAAGATGGCCGACTCGGACGAGAGGCTGGCTGAACGTACGGCGGCGATGCGGCTGGACAGCGCACCGTCCCCCTCGCGTCCGGCAGACCTGGAGATCCTGATCCCCAACCCCTTCGAGCGCAGAGACGACGAAGGCCACGGTGCGAGGGACGCCGAGATGCCTACGGCGAGCCCGAGGCAAGGACCAAGGGATGGAAGGATCGCGGCGGCGCCGGCGCTGCCGCAGCCCCCGATGTACTCGGGGCGCACCATGCAAGACCGGCGCGACTTCATGCACAAGTACGAGGGCTACTTGGTGAAGGTGAACGCGCTGCAGACGGAGTGGACAGCAGCGCTGGCCATGCCCGTGAGCGCGTGTATCGAGACGGATGCACGACGCATGATCGCTCGCTGGGAGTTCAGCGGAGCCTCACCCGAGACGATCACGGAGGAGCAGTGAAGGACTACTTTCGCCAGGCTCTGGTGCCTACCTTCGTGGACTACGCGTCGATCGACACGGCCATGAAGTCCCTGAAGATGCAGGCCGGAGCCTGAGAGTCGCATGTTGCACTTGCAGGCCGACATGGAGGCCATCCTCAACCGCTTCAACGTCACGGACCTGGACGTGGAGGTGGCCGGAGTGGACGTGGAGGCGCAGGTGGTCGTGGTGGCGGAGCTGGAGGCCCGCCTGTCGGAAAAGGAGGGCCGGACGGCGTCGCACGACCTCGCGGTGCCTGGCTCGACGCAGCATCAAGTCCTGAGCTGCCCAGACACCCAACCCGGTGAGGCCGAACGCCTGCTGGCGGAACTGCGCGCGCGGCGTGCGGCTCCTACAACTACCTTGCGTCGAGTCGAGACCGTGGCCGAGCCTGGCCATGAAGTTGCGGCAGCGACAGAGCCATCAGGCGCAGTTGAAGCGCGAGTGGATGGACTGAAAGTCCACGCTCTCCTCCTCGATACGGGGGCCGACGAGTCGTTGGTCGCCCAGGTCGTCGTGGACGCCATCAAGGCCCGCGGAACACCGGTCTTCTTGGCGGACATTCCGCTGCGCACACTGTCGCCGATCGGAGGCAAGGTCTTCGTCGTCCATCAGGCAGTAACGTTCCGCGAGGTGAAGTTAGCCACGTCGGCCGGACCCTTGATGCTGAGGAACTTGGCTTGCCTGGTGGAAGACGGCACACGTCGCAGGACTTCACGCTGGGGCGGCCCATCATGACCGTGCTCGGCTACTCGGCCGACGAACTACTCGTGCGTGCTCGAGGCACTAAGTCGGAGTGGGAGCTTGGTGACAAAGAGCAAGTGGGGGACGACGCCGAGACAACGGCGCTCCAGCGCATGTGCCGGATGCAGACGCGCGCAAGAGCCCACGCGACAGCCACCGAGAATACCGATGCTGTGGAGAGACACGAGACCCGCACGGCGTTGCCATCGCTCCGGTTGCATGACTCCTCAGCCGTGCACGACATGTTGGATTCGAAGCTCGCGGCGGCACGAGCGAAGGGTAGGGGGTCAAGCGACTGCGGGAGATCCTGCTGCGACGCCAGGACAGTTTTCGTCTGGAGTTTGGGGGCGACCCGTCGGTGAAAGTGGCGCCGCTACAAGTGCGCGTGAAGGTCAACGCGCAGCCCACGAAGGCGCAGCCAAGGTGCTACTCACCGGACGACAGGGCGTTTCTTGACCGCCACACGGCCAAGTTGCTGGAGTTCGGGCTGGTGTTTCTGAACCATCGCTCCCGTTGGGCGTCTCCGCCGCGGATTGTCCGCAAGAAGGAGCAGGACTCGGACCCGACGGCCGACCCGCGAATGACGATTGACACCAGAGTCGTCAATGAGCGCACGGAGGTTATGCCGTGGCCCATGCCCGTGCTGGAGGTCGTCCTCGGCGGCTTGGAAGGAGCCAAGGTGTTCTTTGCCTTGGACTGGTTCCGGGGGTATTGGCAGTTGCCGCTGCACGAAGACTCGCAAGAGCTCTTCACATTCATCACCCATCGCGGCATGTACACGCCGACGCGCGTACCGATGGGCGCCACCGATGCTGTCGCGTACTGCCAGGGAGTGGTCGAAGAAATCTTCGGCGACCTGTTGGGCAACGGCGTCTTAGCGTGGCTAGATGACATCCTGGGCTATGCCGAGTCCGAGGACGAGCTACTGCAGCTGCTGGACCAGGTGTTGGCTAGGTGTGAAGCCTACGGGCTGAAGCTGCATGCTAAGAAGTGTGACTTCTTCGAGATTGAAGTCAAGTGGTGCGGTAAGATGGTGTCCGCTGCTGGCGTACGCCACTGCCCTGACCGCGTGCAAGGACTCGTTGAGATGCAGCCGCCGCAGACGGCTGGCGATCTGCAACAGTTCCTGTGCGCCGTGAACTGGATGTGACAGAGCATTCCAGAGTACAACCGACTGACAGCCGGTCTGTCTGCCGTACTGGAGGAGGCGATGAAGGCGGCAGGATCGCGGAAGAAGGTCAAGCTCGCCAAGTTCCCGTTGGACCAGATCGGCTGGGGCGACCCGCAGCTCGCGGACCTTGCCGCTGTGAAGGCTGCGCTGCTGAAGATGGTACCGCTGGCACACCCGAGCCCGACAGCTGAGGTGTGCCTGTATACCGACGCCAGCCAAGACTCGTGGGGAGTCGTGGCTACGCAGTTGGAGCCAGGTGAGGTCCAGCTGCCACTGGAACAGCAGCACCATCGCCCCCTGGCATTCCTAAGTGGGCGCTTTGTGGACGCGTCGAGCCGCTGGCCGACGATCGAGAAGGAGGCGTACGCCATTGTGGAGGCGACGCGCAGGCTGGAGTACCTGCTTCTCCGTCCTGGTGGTTTCCGTCTGTATACGGACCACCGCAACCTCGTCTACATCTTCACACCGTACGGGCCTGACACTGCGATGGCTCGCTATCAGGCAGACAAGTTGCAGCGATGGGCTCTGTCGCTGCTGAGCTTCACCTACGTTATTGAACACGTGCCGGGAGAGGCCAACGTGTGGGGCGACCTCCTGAGCCGCTGGGGCGCCACGAAGATGCCTACGGCAGCGCCAACCGGTGACAGGATGCCAAGACTGGCGGCTGTTGAACGCGTCAGCCCACTCGAGGCTGTCGACTTCGTGTGGTCCAGTGAGGACGAGATCAGGGCGACCCAGCTCGCGAGAAGGGTCAAGGACTCGATGGAGCCAAGCCAGCCGCCGCTGTGCTGGTCGGATGACCGGCGGCTTTTCTTGCTAGCGGTCGAGCGCGTGTGGATCCCCGATGATGCTGTGGAGCTGCAGCTACGACTATGTGTGGTTGCGCATGCTGGTGCTGCCGGCCATCGTGGAGCCAAGACCACCGCGAAGGCACTAGAGGACCTGTTCTCGTGGTGCTCGCTGCGCAAGGACGTGGCGGTGTTCGTCAGCGAGTGTATGCACTGCATGGCCACTGCGGCTGGGAAGATCCCCCGGCCGCTGGGCGAGACGTTGTGGGCGACCAAGCCCAACGAGCAGCTGCACTTCGACTTCTTATCGATGGCGGAAGGCGCGGGGGGTCTCAAGTACGTCCTTGTCCTCAAGGACAATATGAGCGGCTATGTAGAGCTGGTGACCTGCGTCCAAGCTACAAGTGATGAGGTCTACCAGTCGCTGCTGGACTGGTTTAAGCGGTTCGGTGTCGTCCGACAGTGGGTCTCCGATCAAGGAGCCCACTTCCACAACCAAGTCATCGCGGAGCTGCAGCGCGCCCTTGGGGCGCACCACCACTTCACCACGGCCTACACACCGTGGGCCAATGGTACGGTGGAAGTGGTGAACCGAGAGCGTCGCTTACGCGTCGAGGACTGGCCACGGGTGCTAACAGTAGTCCAGGGGGCACTGAACCAAATGCCGGCCGACAGGCTGATCGGCAAGTCGCCGTTGACAGCTTTTACAGCGCTGCCAGGTGGAACACAGCTGACCAGCATTTTGCACCCCCGAGAAGCCGTGACCACGACGGTCGACTGGGTCGACATCCAGGTGAGGGAGCATCTGGAGACAGTGCGTGTAGCCCTGGACGGCATGCATGCTGAGATGACTGCTGCGAGTGAGAAACGCAAGCGCGCTGCTAGGGCGCGTGTAGCTCGACGCCAAGGCGTCACGCTGCCTCGTTTCACCGAGGGCGATTTTGTCCTGGTCGCGACGGCCAAAGCGGGAACAAGTTGGCGCTGGTCTGGCGTGGGCCAAAGAGGATCGTGCGGGCCCTCAACGACTACACATTTGAGGTACAAGACCTCATCGAGCCGTACGCCATCACCATTCGCCACGCTGCGCGGCTGCAGCTTTACCGTGAGGCTGCGCGCGGCCAGGTCGAAGAACTCACGGAGCAGGCCGTTCACGGAGAAGGTGGCGCCCTGGTGGAGGCCCTTAGAGCGTGTCGGCTCAGCCCCGACACGCAGCAGTGGGAATTGCAAGTGAAGTGGTTTGGTCTGGATGAGGTCGAGACCTCCTGGGAGCCGGCTGAGGCCATCAAGGAGGACGTGCCGGTTCTCTTCGCCCGCTTCGTCGATGAGAAGCCTGACGACCCCGACAGACTCCACATGACGGAGGCACTGGACGCGCTGGCTGACCGCCTGCCGACGGTCGCTACCGCGTTGCCGGTGCCGAAGAAGCGCCGTCGGAAGATGGCAATACCCGCGGTGTAGCCGCTAGTCTACAGTGCTCACGCACCAAGCTGGAGGGGGAAGTGATCCGGCGGTATCTGATACCCGGAAGTCAAGATCCAGCAGCTGCCGAAGTTCAAGCCGCTACCGCGCGTGGAGGCCTCGATGTGAGGCCAGGAGCGCTCCCCCCTCGGAGCCTAGAGCGTCTATAAGCCGTAGACGAAGCGAATCGGTGCCTAGATCGCTGCCATCGTCTCGGGCGCAAGCGTTGAAGCCATTTTCCGGCGATACCGTACGTGTTAAACCCAGGGCATCCTTGTACACGCAAGCAGTGCTTACCTCTTGAAGCGACAAAGGTTGGTACTAACGGCAAATGCCTGCATCCCCTGCTTCTCGTCCAATCCCTCCACCAGCGCTCACACCTCTAATACGCTTTCCCAGCCCTTCTTGCAAGTCGAACAAGCCACTTTCCGCGCATCAAGCACGCCTCCACTCTACAAACCGACCACAAGAAACTCGTCCAATGTCATATCTTGTCATTCGATAGTACCAGCTTCTGACAAACATCAACTTCAACATGGACGGTCATCTGACCCCTCTCCTTTGACCAGCATCTCCGCTCTCATTCTCGCTTCGGTCGCCTGGAGCTCAGGTCACTTCGGACCACATCAACCCCCTACATCCACCTTGACCAATGCTGGCGAAGCGCGTGCTGCGTCTCGTAGTGGAGCGTCCCCCCACTCCCGTGCTTCGGACCCGTCCGTCTCTCGCAGTCCGCCGTGGCAGTCGGGCGCTGGGCGGGGCTTTGGCCCAGCAAGTGCTCGCGCGGGGCATCACGACGCCCAGCCTGGCCAACTTCTCGTCCTCCGCGGCGGCCGAGCACGTGGCCAACCTGCCAGACCCGAGCGAGGCCTTCGACCGCATCGTGCACCGCTCGCCGCACGCAGACGTCGAGATCCCGGAGCACACGATCTGGGAGGTGGCGGAGCGCCAGGCGCGCGTCAACGGGGACAAGCCCGCCTTCGTGTGCGGCCTCACGCACCGGAGCGTCTCGTTCCGCGAGCTCTTCACGGGGGCGCGGCGCCTCGCGGCCTCGTTCGCCCAAGAGGGCGTGCGCAGGGGCGACGTCGTGGTGCTGCACTCGTTCAACTGCATCGAGTACCCCATGGTGGTGCTGGCACTCACCGGCATGGGGGCCGTCTGCTCGCCCGCCTCGCCGCTGTTCGTGCCCAACGAGTTGGCCTACCAGCTCTCGCACTCGAGGGCCAAGTTCCTGGTCACGCACAAGCAGCTGGAGACGACGGCCGTGGAGGCCGCGGCCATGGCGGGGCTGAGCAATGCCGTCACGTTCACTATGGGGAGCTCGGAGGCCACGGAGACGCTCGGCCTCAAGAGCATCAACGACATGGCGGCGCAGACCGAGCACGACTTCTTCTACGAGCGCGTGGACCCGAACCTGAAGCTCATGCTGCCGTTCTCCAGCGGGACCACGGGCAACCCCAAGGGCGTCGGCCTGAGCGCCAGAAACCTACTGGCCAACGCTCTGCAGGTCAGCCATGTGGAGCCTGAGGGCGACAACTTCCTGGGCCTCGTGCCCTTCTTCCACATCTACGGCATGATGCTCATCCACCTCAGCATCCTCCAAGCCAAGAGCATCGTCATCCTGCCGAGGTTCATGCCGGACACGTTCCTCAACGCGTTGTCCACGTACAAGGTGAGTCAGTCTAGCTTCCACTTCTTCAATCTCTGCCTGTATTAACACTCATTGCCATATCTGCAGATCCGCACAGCCCACATTGCACCTCCTGCAGTGCTGTTCCTGGCGCACCACCCGATGGTGGAGGAGTTCGACCTCTCAGCAACCGAGTTCGTTGTGTCAGGTGGAGCCCCCATCGGCAAGCAGGTGGAGAGCACGGTGCACAAGCGCCTGGGTCTCAACGTGAAGCAGATCTACGGCATGACGGAGCTGAGCCCTGCGGTCAACTACGGCGAAGACAACACTCGCAAACCCGTACGACAAGTGTCGATCCTTTCATGAACTCGTCCCAATTCATGCAGCTAAACCGTGTTCTTCGTTGTTGTGGTTAACAGGGCAGTGCCGGACGACTGGTGCCGAACACGGAGCTGCGCGTGCGCTGCATGAGCACGGACCGAGACCTGCCGCCGAACCACGAGGGCGAGCTGCTGTACCGCGGGCCGCAAGTCATGCTCGGGTACGAGAACAACCACGAGGCCAACCAGAACATCTTCACGGAGGACGGATTCCTTCGCACGGGGGACATTGGTTACATCGACGACGACGGCTTCGTGTTCGTCATCGACCGCGCCAAGGAGCTCATCAAGTACAAGGGCCACCAGGTCGCACCGGGCGAGCTGGAGGACGTCCTGAACCACCACCCGGCCATCGCCGACTGCTGCTGCGTGCGCGGACGCAACGACATGGGCGAGGAGATCCCCAAGGCTTTCGTGGTGCTCAAGAACCCAGACAGCCCCGACCGCCCGACGCCGCAGGACATCATGGACTACATGGCCGAGAACGTCGCCCCCTTTAAGAAGGTGCGCGAGGTGCAGTTCATCGAGGCCATCCCCAAGAACGCGTCCGGCAAGATGCTGCGGCGCCAGCTCCAGGAGCGCGAGAACCGCCTCCACCAGGCGTAAAATGGCTGCGGACACGGAGCGAGATGAGTATGCATATTGTCGTCTCGATGTTTTATCTGCGAATGAAGCGTATGAACCAACAACACCTTTTCAAGGCAAAAACTTTGAGTCATTTGTTCAGTTTCCTAGTGTACATCTGCGACTGGCCGCTGTCTTCCTGGTTGTCGTGCGGACTTCAGTTATCCGCCGGTTGGTCTTGTGGCTGCTTCAGCGGCAGCAACTGACTGGACCATTGCTTGTCAATTGGTTGACCTTGGCTCAGTGGCGACCGTGGTGTCCATGGCGACGCGGGGGTCCTTGCTGCACGACCACTGGCTGCACGTACACGACGCGCTGCTGCGGGGGCGGGCGGCGATTGTAGTCGTCACGACGGTCGTTGCCGCCGCCGCAACAGCAGCAGGCGGTGAGCGAGCCGCAGAGGCAGCAGGCCATGTCGTCGCACGCGAGGCAAATGGGGATGCACATGGCTGAGCAGGTGGTGAGAGGGGGTTGTGGTGGGGCCTGGTCGCAAATTGAAGAGTGAGGAGCTGCTGGCCGCCGACTTAACGGAGACGGAGCCGCCAGCAGAGCATGTTGCCAAGACCTGCACTGCAGGTCCAGCCGTGTGGATATTCAGCGCGGAATGTCCAACGCATTTCGCCAGCAGACCAGATGATTAATCTGTGACGCGCGCACATTTGTATTTGTCGAATGGTTTTTGCAAAAAGGATAGTAGGCAAGATCGGGATAAAAGTATCCGGGCGGATTTTGTGTACGCCACACAACTGTAAAAGTGCAGCTTTTTGCGGCGTAGCCATCCGGGCTGTGTTGAAGTGGCAAGTGGCAGGTTTCCTCGGCGCTCAATTATCTGCCGGTGCCCTCCGCTACTGCCAGCAGGCGCGGCGTGGCGCGATCGCATCGCTGCTGGTCTGATTGCAGCCTTCAGTTGGCAGAAGCAGAAGCGAACGCGCGGGCTCGTTGCCACTCGACGCGCGTTGCGTTTCCTCTTCCAGTAACCAGCGGCAACACTGGCGAGCAGCTACATCGAGCAGCGGGAGGCCTTCGCCTTCCTCGTGCCCAAGACGATGATCGGGCGGAGACGCCGCTGGCGCCAGCAAGAGCGCGAGAAGGCGGTGCGCAACGTCTTCGAGGCGCAGATGCACGCGCGGATGCGGCGCCAGAGCCTTAAGCACGCGGAGCTGCGGCGCCCCGAGGCGCTGGAGGCCGACTGCGTGACGCTGGACCTCGGCAGCGCGCGCTCCAGAGACACCAGTTTAGGGCAGGAGAGAGCGGCTAGGAGGGTTGTTAACCGTGACGACAAGGCGGGCCAGTGCCAGTGGGTGCCGCACTCGATCGAGGAGCTGGAGGCTTCGTCTTCCTCCTCGTCTTCTTCGGACGACCGCGGCAACATTTTCTCGCCTGGAGGGGAGGAAGAGGGCAACGAATTGGTGCTCAAAGTGCGGCAACCGCTGAGTCAAGACGCCTGGTTCCGGCTGGAGAAACTCGGGGGCCTGGACATGACGCTGGCCGTGCCGGCCTTTGTGTACCGGGTCTTTCTGGGTGAGGAGAAGGACTTCAGTGGAGACGCAACGGAGGGCAGTCGCGGTGTTTACAGACTCCCAAGACTGCTCCACAACTCGAGAGCGAACCTGCCGCCGCGATCGGCGGACTGCTATCTATGAGCTCAGAGCTAGACGAACGAAACTAACATATTCCCAAGAAAGAGCTTGGCTTTAAGCTGTCGTGTTCTGCTTTGCCAGCCTGGAAACCGCATACCTGTACACGACGAGTCTGGTTCTGGTTGTTACACAAACGCAGCTCCATTGTTTCAACGCTTATATTTCGTGGATTCACGAGTGGGGGAGCTTCCGTTTGAGCTGCTCTAGTGTACACACGCAGTGGTAGGTGGTCGTGGCTGGAATCGCGTTCAGCTTCTCTTGATCCCTTCGTTTCTCTAAGCTCTTCACGCTCAGCTCAGTAGTAGCCGCGGTGGGGCGGCGGCGGGGGAGGGCCTCCCTGAACAACCACGGGGTTCACGTACACAACGCTCTCGGGCGGAGGAGGGCCTCGGTCATGGCGGTCGCGACCGCCACCTCCGCAGCAGCAGCAGGCAGTCAGAGCTCCGCAGAGGCAGCAGTCCAAGTCTCCGCAGCAGTCTCCGCAGCAAGGGCCTCCGCAGTCGCAGCAGGGGCCGGGGCCGCACAGATCGCAGCACCCGTCAGGTCCGGGGCCGTCGTCGCAGCAGCAAGGGATGCACATTGGGTCTTTGGTGTTGTGAGTCTTTGGTGGCGGTTTGAGGAATGGAGACCAGCGAGTGGTTGAGTCGGAGACGTGGGTGTACAGTACAGCTGCGGAGGAACACCTCTCGTGCCGAGCGTGGATTCTCGGCGCTATGCTCGCGCGGGCCGATCACAAGCATCTGTGACGTGTGTGCAACCTCGAGCGAGACATGCGCGAGCGAAACACGGTTTTTTGCAAGAATCTGCTGGTCAATGCGGTGCCGGGATGACGGTACGAGAGTGGGGGAACTGGCAATCAAGCGCAGCGCGCTGTGCACGCTCTACATGTACATGTAGCATTGCCCCCGTCGAGTACCGGTATGTACATGTACATGTAGTCAAAATCGCCTCGTACTATCGTGGAGGAGTCGATGTTGCTGTGACAGCATTGTACTGTAGCGTACAGTCTGTAGATCCCCTTTACAGCAGTCTTCAGTCGGACAGCAAAGTCTTCGCCGATAACTCAGTAGCCACCGATCAGGAACGCATTTACCTGTCAGAGCTCTGCAGTACATGTATTGCGATCACTGCACTTAGCCGAGCGAAGGCCGGTCAATGGCGATGTACAGCAGCTCGGGAGACTAGGGGTCAAAATCCGTGTATTCCGTAGCTACTGCCGTTCTTGCAGGCAGCGGCTATCGATCGAGCTTCTAATCTAATACTAAATACTGTACAGCCGTGGGAGGGCACGAGCGACTTGCCTCGGCAGTCTTGAGGCTGTGAAAGCGACGGGTCTTGAGGGTGTTCTCTTCTTGTCTTGCTTCGCTTACACTCGGTCGTAGTAGCCGCCGTGGTGCGGCGGGTAGCCGTGGTGCGGGGGCCCTCGCTGCACGACGACGGGGTTCACGTACACCACGCGGTCCGGCGGCGGCGCGTGGCGGTGGTGGTCGTGGCGCCGGCGGTCGTCGCCCCCGCAGCAGCAGCAGAGCGCGGTGAGCGAGCCGCACAGGCAGCAGGCGAAGTCGTCGTCGCACGGGATGCAGATGGGGATGCACATGTCTGTCTGTCTGTTGATCGGTGGCTTTGGTTGGAGCTTCAGACTGTTCGGTGCTTCGAGGCAGAACGCGGAATGACACCGAGCAGGTCTCCGAGATGGCTGCGCTTGGATTTTCCGCTGTCCAACGGAGACCGTGATTCAATTTATGCTGTGCTCTGCGACGTGTGCACACTTGACGCCAGTATTGAACCTCCTGTCCAGAAACTGGCGTCCGCAAGTTTTAATTTGTTCCTTCAAGTACTGAATCCCTGTTGAATACGGTTAAATCCGTTTTGACAGTACTTAGTAAAGATAGATATTACACCCTTTATACTATATGCGACATGTAGCGATATATGTCCGAATGTTCAGTCTCTGCAGAATATCTACCCACCGGCGTTCAGAGGATGAACGCCGGTAGATTCAGAGGATCTTGGCCACGAGGACCTGCCCCGGCCACGACAAAAACTACCACCAGCACTGAAAGTGTTCATAAACACTGTCCGACCGCACTTCAGCACTGCATAATGTACAGTGGCACCATATCATGCAAATCGTTAGGCACACCCCGGCCTTCGGCCTACTCATGCGTGTCGTTTGCACGGTGTACTACGCTTCGCTCGTCGCCGGCAAGGCCACGAAAAATAGATTGTAACTCCTTGTCAGGGCACCTACTCCGGGCTGCGCGCCGACCATTGCAGACCTACGCTTCGCTACGGTTGCAAACGGTCTCTCTAAGCCCTCCTCGTTTTTACACTGCCGCCCGGTCTCTAGTACGGTGCTGATGTACGATCAGCTCTGAATCTACAAGTGTTTATAGGATTTACTCCTTGGCCACGCTTGATGCCTGGGACTCCCAGGCTGGTGCTGCGGGCTGCGTCGTGCCACCGCTTAGTCGAAATGGTGGTGCAGCCACTTGGACGCGCGCTTGATCGTCGGTGAGAGCATGATCGGGAACGGAGCGACGTCGGGGAAGCTTGAACTGGACGCTCTCCGCGTTGCCCACGAGAAAGACTCGCTCGAGTCGGCGTCGTTGAAGCAGCAGTCGTTGTACTCGCAGCCGCAGGTGCAGCGGAAGCAGCTCGTGAACGCACCGACGCACTCGCAGCAGCCCCAGTCGCCGTCACAGCAGCCGCAGTCGCAGCAATCGCAGTCGCATCCGCTGCAGTCCAGCTTGCAGTTGCAGTCGCACATTGCGAGAGGCTCACGCGGCGCAGCTCAGATGAGAAATGGCTCCACCTAGCAGGAGTTCTCAGTCGGTTGGGCTAACTCGGTGGTCGTAACGTTTCTTTTCCTTTTGGCGCTGAGATATGAGGGCGAAAGATGGAGCATGCCAGGGCTGGATTGCCTGCAAAAAGCTCAACATGATACACACGAAGTATTTATTTCGTTGTTGCATGTGATGGGAATCGCGCGTTGGCTTGTATGCCCCTATAATAGTTTACCGGTGCATCCGAGTTACGATCGAGGTGGAGATAGCGAGACTGCGACTGGTTGGATCTCTGAAATGGTCGCGTGGGTTGCAGAATACATGTATCGCGTCGCGGGAGGTGAGGCAGTCGTGCCGGTTAAAGTGCTGCGACAGCAACCTCTGTCGCCGAAGCAGCAGTCGCAGCAATGACAGCAAGCAATCAGCCAGTCGCAGCACGTGCAGTCGCAATCGCAGCCACAGCAGTCACAGTCGCAGCACTCGAAGTTGCAGTCGTCACACATGAGCGAAGCGATTTTTCAAATAGACTGGAGTCTTGCGGTGTTGGAGGCTCGATCAATTATGCGGGCGAGCGGCAGCGGCGTAGGTGCTGTCGTAGGGATTTCCAAGTCGGATGTCGGGTGATGCGCTCATTACCGCAGCCCCCCCCCCCCCCTTGTGCCAGATCACCACAGCCGACAAGCTCATACACTGAAATAGCAGGCAACACATGAATGCAAACTTGCAACCGGCATAGCTTTGTTCATCGTGTAGGCATTTGGGCCTGGGATACAGACTGTAGTTAGGTGTTTCGGTCTGCAGGCCTTGCATCGGCAGCGCGTCGGGTGTGTACGATCTTTCAGAGCGCTTGCTGACTCGGCGGGTGCAAGCTAGCGTAAGAAGGGATCTCTGGGATGATCATGCGGGGCACAGGATTTTGGGGCACAGCAGGAGTCGCGCTTGTGCTGTCGGCTCGGCTGTAGTCACAGTTGCAGGAATTGCAGTTGCAGTTGCACGCGCTGAAGCAACAGTTGAAGACGTCGGCGATCCCGTCGAGCAGGGCGCACTCGCAGCATCCACAGTCCCAGCACCCGCAGTCACAGCAGTCGAGGTTGCAGTCGCAGTCGCACATTACTATTAGTATCCGATATTGAATAGAGGCTGGCAAGTTCGGAACTGGTCGCTATGGTCCTCGTACCGGATGGGTACAGCTTATGAACGAACCTCATCGGATTCTTGAAATGCGTGGTCTGTACTTCTGTTTAGTTTAGGTTGGGGCAACTTGCCTGTGGCAGGTGGGTACGACTGGATCGTTGGTGTCGAGCCTAGTGAACTCAGTCAAAATACGCGGGCGGCTTGTCACGAATTGGAGAAATCACGACTGCGAACGGAATGATCTCAGGAATACCGCCGGTACTGGTATTGGGAGGATTCTGGGCTGTGGTGCTCGTCGCGCGGCTGCAGCTCCAGCCCCCGGTACTGCTGCTGCAGCTGCTGGCACAGCAGTCGCCCACGCAGTCGCAGCAATCCCCGCAGCATTTCAGCATCAGACAACCAGGTGAATTGCAGCAGCTACAGTCGAAGCAGTCGCAGTCACAGCAGTCGCAATCGCAGTCGCAGCCAGCGTCACATTCACCGTCGCACATCTTCCGTCTTCTGTAAGCTGGTCTTGTTAACTTGTAGGCTTGTAGAGATTTGAGCTGCCGTCGCGAAGGAAGCACTCCATGTGCGGGGGCTCCAGGATGGATTTCCGGGGCGTGGATTTTGCCGCTCGTTGGAAACTTCCTCCTCATGGGTGCATGTTGCAATTACTGATCCATCAGAACAACCTTTCCACTGCTGCTGGCCTTGCTGGGATCACTCATCACAAACTTTGATCTTTTCGAGCTGAGCTTTCAGCCACGTGCTCGTCGAGCAGTGCTCGACCACCTTTGCGCTACTGCCGTCGTGGACGTCACAGCAGTCCGCAGTGCCCGACTGAGCTGTAGTTCCATACCGTTGGCAGCTACACGTATCCGACAAGTTGTGAGTGCTCCTGTGTTTATCGTTTGGAGCTGGTGCGGCACATTCCGCAAAAACTAAGCAGGAAAATTTCGTCCACACGCAGTGCGTAGCTGCGCAGAGAGCGAATCCTTGCGGAAACCCCTACAACACCACGTTGTATAATCTCCTTTCGCGTTCCCAGTGCCCGTTATCACGAATTCAAACGTTGAAGTTGCCCTGGCGTCGCGGAAAGCAGCTGGGTCTCGAGCTACGATCTCGCCTTGCCTCCTTGAAGCGGGGCGGGCGCAAGCGGCGTCCCGAAGGTGCAGCGATCGATCGTGGGGGCGCTGCAGCAGCAGCAACGAGCTTACTAATGCCTCGCTTGGCGGCTCTGTGGACTCGGATGCGGAAGAAGCGTCGCCAACGTGTCCACGTCGCTTGTTGTAGGGCTGGGCATGCTGCCGCTTTGGCACAGCTCGCACGACGCTCGGCATGAGTAACACGATCGACCTGAGGCTTATCGGTAGACTGGAGCAACTCGTCCGAGCCCCAGCAGCTGGCGGCGCTAGATTCCTTCGCGTTGGGCTTTGCAGGGCGTTGGAACTTCCAGCGCCCGCGCGTGACAAAAACCCCGCTCGCTGCCAACACCTACGAGGTGACGAGACCGTCGGGCGTCGTCGAGGCTCGAGACCGAGGGAGGGACCCGCCACGCAATCTGCAGTCGCGCGCTAACATTTCCCGACCCTTGGGTGACTGCAATGGGTCTCGTGGGAGATCGGAAAACCGGTGGGTGTGACGACACCGCCTAACACGACCAAGTGTCGTCCAGATCGGGGAGCGCCTCTGTCAACAACGTTAGACGCTTGTCAGGCTTGCGTGCGTGCGTCCAACTTGGCGTTGACGGGCGCGCCAAGTCGCGAGCGTCGTGCAGAGCACACGCGTCGAGCACACGCGTAGCGCGATAGGCTATCGCAGATAGGCGACGGCGCCACAGCGACCTGCCAGCCTATCGAGCATGCAGCGAGTCTTACTATAATAACTCGTGTTCGAGCGCCGTTGCAAGCGCAGCAGCAGGTGCTGCGGAACCCCTGGAGTGACCATGATGGTCGAGGTCGGCTCGTACATCTTGAGCTGCATCATGCATACACAGCCGCCCGCGACTGCACAGGATTGCAAATGTAGTGTGAATGTAGAGGTACTTCGCGAAAAGTGTATGTCGGTGGCCGATGAAGCCGCACTGGTGACGAACGACCACGGCTTGGGAAAATAGGGGGTATAACGCGTTGCCATATGTATTACATGTATTGTTCTCGGGCGCGGGAAATCCGGTGTCGTTGGTAGTTTCTCTTGGCCTCCTTACTCCGGCTGCAGCGCTGGCAAAAGAAAGGAGGTTCCGCTCGTTCTGCCCGGGACGAGTTGACAGAGGTCATAATTGTCGAGGCAGCCAGCGAGGTTGTTGATGCGCCCGCTGCCATCGAGAACAAGGCCGAAAACTCAACTCAAGTTTGCATTCCTTTTTGTCCTGGTTGGATTTTTGTACAAATTGTAGAATGCGACAGGAAGTTGAAGTTACATACGAATAACAAGTGCACACACGTCACAGACCGGCATGTGACAGAAACTGTTGGACACTTCCAGCACAAGTCAAGGTTCTCCTCTCTCCAGTGCAGTTGTCCTTGTCCACGGCGTCGGGCGGTCATTACTGAATCGACCTTGTGCAGCGAAGAAGAAAACACCAGGAGCAAGCAGACAAGTGCGAGATAAAGCACAGCAAGCACCCACAGCGAATGTGCCTCCTGTTTCCGCTTGGCGACGAACTGTGTAGCTGTCTAGCAGGTGTCGTGCTGCCTCGCCAGCGCCGCCCAGGCACCGCTATCGGCGCGAGTGCTACTCGCCCAGACGCGTGTACGTCCAGCCGGTCGTCGTGAAGGAGTACTACCCGCCTCCACCTCCGCAGCAGCAGCAGCAAGGATACCCCTACGCAAGGCCTGTAGGCAAGGCATGATCCAGTGGGGGCAAAGTGGATTAGGCAGCGCGAAATACTCGACAGCTAACGATAGAGCTGTATGTTAGGACAGCAGCTTCCTTGGAGATATTTTTTTGATATAATATAGGTATAAAGACAATGATGTGTTATTTGGTGTTTTGTTGCATCGCTGTGCTGCTAACGGCAAAACACTCACATGTGCTAGATTGCGTTCCCGCACCGTGGGTGGCGAGTATACGTGGATCTACAGCCTTGCTGGCGGATGAATTTCCGGGGTGGGCCGCGCGAGACGGCAACTGGTGCAACGTAGACTACGTTGGTCTTCGGTGTCTGTCGGCGGCGCCTTCCGTCCTCCCGAGATTGGCACTCGTTTGGTAGCACACTGCAGAGCGACACTTTGTTCTGCAAACATGAACGCTGTTTTATCGAAGACGAATTGCTTATAGTCGTGCGTCTCCTGCTCGTTTGTACAAGTACCCTAAAATACAGACGTTCGAAGAAACTCGGAGCTATGAACGTTGGACTCGGGGAACTGTGGACACGGCTGCATCGATTCTTGATTCGATATATCAGTGATTAATTCTGTAAGCGAGCTCCGCGAGCATCGGTGGCTGTTCACTTCCTCATTTCCCCCGCAGCGAACAGCGAACAAACCAGTGAAATGTGCCTGGACGACATCCTCTGCTGCGCGTGTGGTGCTTACTGCACCGCATGCTGCATTCGCGCAACCGACCAATCTCGGGAGCGCCGCCGACAGACACCGAAGACCAACGTAGTCTACGTTGCACCAGTTGCCGTCTCGCGCGGCCCACCCCGGAAATTCATCCGCCAGCAAGGCTGTAGATCCACGTATACTCGCCACCCACGGTGCGGGAACGCAATCTAGCACATGTGAGTGTTTTGCCGTTAGCAGCACAGCGATGCAACAAAACACCAAATAACACATCATTGTCTTTATACCTATATTATATCAAAAAAATATCTCCAAGGAAGCTGCTGTCCTAACATACAGCTCTATCGTTAGCTGTCGAGTATTTCGCGCTGCCTAATCCACTTTGCCCCCACTGGATCATGCCTTGCCTACAGGCCTTGCGTAGGGGTATCCTTGCTGCTGCTGCTGCGGAGGTGGAGGCGGGTAGTACTCCTTCACGACGACCGGCTGGACGTACACGCGTCTGGGCGAGTAGCACTCGCGCCGATAGCGGTGCCTGGGCGGCGCTGGCGAGGCAGCACGACACGCATGCCGCACCTGCTAGACAGCTACACAGTTCGTCGCCAAGCGGAAACAGGAGGCACATTCGCTGTGGGTGCTTGCTGTGCTTTATCTCGCACTTGTCTGCTTGCTCCTGGTGTTTTCTTCTTCGCTGCACAAGGTCGATTCAGTAATGACCGCCCGACGCCGTGGACAAGGACAACTGCACTGGAGAGAGGAGAACCTTGACTTGTGCTGGAAGTGTCCAACAGTTTCTGTCACATGCCGGTCTGTGACGTGTGTGCACTTGTTATTCGTATGTAACTTCAACTTCCTGTCGCATTCTACAATTTGTACAAAAATCCAACCAGGACAAAAAGGAATGCAAACTTGAGTTGAGTTTTCGGCCTTGTTCTCGATGGCAGCGGGCGCATCAACAACCTCGCTGGCTGCCTCGACAATTATGACCTCTGTCAACTCGTCCCGGGCAGAACGAGCGGAACCTCCTTTCTTTTGCCAGCGCTGCAGCCGGAGTAAGGAGGCCAAGAGAAACTACCAACGACACCGGATTTCCCGCGCCCGAGAACAATACATGTAATACATATGGCAACGCGTTATACCCCCTATTTTCCCAAGCCGTGGTCGTTCGTCACCAGTGCGGCTTCATCGGCCACCGACATACACTTTTCGCGAAGTACCTCTACATTCACACTACATTTGCAATCCTGTGCAGTCGCGGGCGGCTGTGTATGCATGATGCAGCTCAAGATGTACGAGCCGACCTCGACCATCATGGTCACTCCAGGGGTTCCGCAGCACCTGCTGCTGCGCTTGCAACGGCGCTCGAACACGAGTTATTATAGTAAGACTCGCTGCATGCTCGATAGGCTGGCAGGTCGCTGTGGCGCCGTCGCCTATCTGCGATAGCCTATCGCGCTACGCGTGTGCTCGACGCGTGTGCTCTGCACGACGCTCGCGACTTGGCGCGCCCGTCAACGCCAAGTTGGACGCACGCACGCAAGCCTGACAAGCGTCTAACGTTGTTGACAGAGGCGCTCCCCGATCTGGACGACACTTGGTCGTGTTAGGCGGTGTCGTCACACCCACCGGTTTTCCGATCTCCCACGAGACCCATTGCAGTCACCCAAGGGTCGGGAAATGTTAGCGCGCGACTGCAGATTGCGTGGCGGGTCCCTCCCTCGGTCTCGAGCCTCGACGACGCCCGACGGTCTCGTCACCTCGTAGGTGTTGGCAGCGAGCGGGGTTTTTGTCACGCGCGGGCGCTGGAAGTTCCAACGCCCTGCAAAGCCCAACGCGAAGGAATCTAGCGCCGCCAGCTGCTGGGGCTCGGACGAGTTGCTCCAGTCTACCGATAAGCCTCAGGTCGATCGTGTTACTCATGCCGAGCGTCGTGCGAGCTGTGCCAAAGCGGCAGCATGCCCAGCCCTACAACAAGCGACGTGGACACGTTGGCGACGCTTCTTCCGCATCCGAGTCCACAGAGCCGCCAAGCGAGGCATTAGTAAGCTCGTTGCTGCTGCTGCAGCGCCCCCACGATCGATCGCTGCACCTTCGGGACGCCGCGCGTAGCCATCGCCGCCGCTTGCGCCCGCCCCGCTTCAAGGAGGCAAGGCGAGATCGCAGCTCGAGACCCAGCTGCTTTCCGCGACGCCGCGGCACCGACAGACGTCCAGGATCTCTTGGTCGCCGCCGCCGTTGGACGCACTCACGCCTCATCGTCGGCGCGCGATTGGCAAAGCGGCCGACCCACAGCGGTCAGCGCCGGTCAGAGCGGCGAGATTGCTTATGACATGGGCGTCAGCGCATCAACGTCTGAACTCCTGGGCGAAAATATCTAAACTTTGAAACTTTTTGGAAGCGCAAAATTGCAGCAAAAGCCGGTGGGTCGACGAGCAAGAGGACTCAACTGGAGATACGTGTGCAGCACAAGTGCACGCGCTCGAAGGCAAGACATGCCTTGCCGTGCCGTCGGCATCGTCCGCAAAGCGCCAGGCTCGCGTGTTGAAAAAGGCAACTTGCTCGTATTCAGGATTGCCGTTATAAAATCAAATAAAACCTATCCCCACCCGTTTTCAACCAATGAACGGTCAAAGGACATTTTCAAAAATAACCACCCTGACTCAATCGGCATGTGGATTTATAGAGTTCGGCGCCTTCCACTTCGCTTAAACAGATTAACACGACGAGCAGCGGACTTTCAACTCGCCCGACACAAGCGCCGCAACGGCGTCAGTACATATCACCTCCAATCGCGGCACCTGGTCGCCTGCAGCGTGATGACCAAAACGCCTGCTGTTCTAATGCTTTTGCGCGCGGCAAGCAGTGGTTTCACGGCCACAGACCCCTACCCACACCCATCTGGCCACGCTGAATGTATTTTTTCTTGCCTCGGACTGGGGAACGCCTTCCCTCCACTTTGCAAGTCGTCGCCATACTGAACGCAAGTGGCGCGCCGCCCCAAATCGACTAGGAGCGGCAAAGCAGGAAGAGACGAGCCCCCGCCAGCGCCTCCCTCCCCTTGTGCCCGGGCGCGGACGGCTCACGCAGAGACTCACTCCCCGCTGTGCGCGCGCCAACGCGATCGTCTCCGAGCCGCGCGAAGCCCGCGGGACGCAGTTTGTGGCTTTGCCGTTGCTGACCGGACGACGACCAACACAACCGCAGAGAAGACGCCACACTTTCCCACCGAGGGCGAGCGAAGGGAAGCAAGAAGCGAAACCTCAAGTGCACACTTTGCCACTTGCACATTAGCCATGCCGCAGGTAAGTTAGGTTAACACCTCGTGCTTTCCGTTCTTTGCCGTGTTGCCGTGGAAATTTTCTCGCGGACAGGGGGTAATTCATAACGCAATGTTTATCTCTGCCTGTAGACTCTGGTGTTCGCGGAGCAAGTGCCCACGTACGTGTACCAGAACGTCAACTTTCAGGCCACCGTCAAGCTCGTGGACGAGCACAAGGCCAAAGTCACGGGGTAAGTTCACGTTGGGTGTCAGCGACCGCTACGCCACTCTCGTCCCCCCTCTCTAACTGGTGTCTCTTACCGTCTTTAAACGTCTCTCTAACCAGCGTCCGTAAGCCGCTGCAAGTGTCCCTCCGCTTCCATGACACGTACGACCTCGTGGAGGACCAGGACGCGGTGCTGCGCCTGGCCTCGGAGGCGCGCATCGACCCCAACACGGGCCTCGCGCTGCTGTCCATGAGCCTGCACACGCTCACGGCCACGTGCGACGGCCGCAACTTCTGCCTCGAGGTGCGTAGCGCCGACGCCGACATCGAGTCGGTCTTCTCGGCGCCCGTGAACGTGGTCAAGGAGAAGCTGCAGGTCGTGACGCAGCCGCCCGACGTCTGGTTCAAGGACGAGGGCGGCCGCGAGAAGTGCATGACCGTCGCGCTCACGCTCGTGCCCGCGCCCGGCGCGTACCTCGAGGACCGCATCGTGCCGCTGGACGTGCGGCTGCTCTACGAGTCGGGCAACACGGTGCTGAACCAGAGCATTCTGCGGCTCTTCCCCGACATGCGCCCCAACATGACGCACGGCCGCGTCACCATCTCGTTCCGCATCGACGACGTGTCCAAGAACCACCAAGGCCAGTCGTTCATGCTCGAGATCGGCCCCGAGCAGCAGGACGGCAGCTCCATGTTCCAGGACATCGCCCCCACGCGCACGTCGGTCATCGCCATCCGCTCCAAGCGCAACAAGCGCAAACTCAACGCGCAGGCGGCGGCGGCAGCGGCGGCAGCGGTCTCAGGCGTCTACGGGATGCGCGCGTCTCCGCGCAGCGTTGCGGGCACCCCGCGCACCCCGTACATGAACATGGGCGGCGCGGCGCAGAACTCGCCCCAGGGGATGAACGGAGCCGGCATGATGATTGAGCCGCACCCGCAGCGCGCGCGCAAGTACATGGCCACGAGCAGTGGCATGGGTTACGGCATGATGCAGCAGCAAGCTCAGCAGCCGCCGCAGCAGCCCATGTCGTCCATGTCCTGGAGCAGCCACTTGATGCAGCCCAACACCAGTGCGGTGTCTCCTATGCAGCCGCAGACGCCTCAGAACCAGCAGGCTTCTGTCCAGACCCCAGGCGCGGGAGCTGCCAACAGCCCTGGCGCAGTGGAGTGGGCACTCGGAGGCTTCGAGATTCACCCGGACGGCTCCATGAATACGGCACGACCGATCTACCGCTGCCCGCAGTGTCGTCGCCTGAATGACGTGGACATGCTGGCGGCGGGCCCTGCGCTCTCACACAGCCCACAGTGCGTGTTCGCTCCCAACGGTGGCAACGGCAACATGATGTACCGTTCTCAGATGGAAGGAACGCCCATGAACCAGCAGCAGCAGATGCAGCAACAGCAGCAGCAACAGCAGCAGCAACAGCAGCAGCAACAGCAGCGTGGGTACGCAGCGTACCAGCAGATGGCTGAGCAGCAGAGTGCGGCTATGAGCATGGGCATGAGTGCGCAGCAGACTACCAGTACCAGCAGCTACGGCAGTAGCCCTGTGGTCGACTCGTCGTCGCTCAACGTACAGCAGAACACGGTCAACATCACCTCCAAGCCGGAGGATGCATCACCCAAAACGATGGCAGCGCTCGCGACGTCGTCTACGCTGCGGCCGTCCATGACCATCTCCCCGTACATGAACAAGGTCACCACGGAAGGCAACGTCCCGGGCAACAGCGGGCAAGAGCAGGGATCCAGCGGCAATTTGTTCGAGAGCAACGCGTTCCACAACCAAATGGAGATGATGGGCAACAACAGCACGGAGAAGTTGTTCATGAACAAGAGCACTGCCGTTGAGGACGACCCGGCGCTCGACCCTCAGCAGCAGCCCCAGAACTACCAGGAGTCGGGCTCGTCCTTCAACGGCGTCATCGGGACTTCTCTCTTCAATGAGATGACCAGCATGGGCATTAATCTTGATCAGTACGACAAGGGCGACTCCCAACTCCTGGGCGAGTTCAACGGCCTAGCGGCTGGAGCCGCTCAGGCCCCTAATGACGAAGACCAAGTCTTCTACATTCTGGCTCGGATGTACACGGACGCAAGGGAGCAGAAGCTTGGATTGCCGGCCTTCGACCAGTTCCAACGCATGGTACGTCAAGCGTTGAAGCTTATGTATGCACTTGGTCGTGATGTCTCGGACTCTAATTGTGATGTTTCTCTCTTGCTTGAATTGCTGCAGCTTGGATTCTACAGCGAAGCCCAAGACGACGTCCAGACGCAGGTGGTGTTCCACCCGCTGCGGGACGTGTGCTTGTCCGACGAAGAGCGCCAGAAGATCACGTCCCAGTTCGTGGACGAGCTGAGCCGCGACTCGCAGGCGGTGCATTCGCTACCCAAGTACCAACACAACCTCATTATGCTGCGCGAGGACGCGCTCATGTTCTACTGGAGCCAGTCGCTCGTATGAGGCGGTGCCGAGTGTGATAGAGGGATAGAGCCTCGGCGTAACAGACCGCAGGCAAGCGTTGTGTTTTAAGAGCCAATGTGCCAGATACTAGTTGAGTGCGTACCAGTCAGTGGGTAGTAAACGTGAGCGTCCAGTTGTATAAAGTGCCGTGCAGATGCATGTAGTTTGATTCAGAGAGAAAGAAAGAAAGAATCGTGTGAAGAGTTTCATCGGAAAATCTAATCGACACAATAATTCCACACGCCAAGAAAATCTCGAAACCAGTCTCTAAACCCGCTTCTCTCTATCTATCTCAGTTGCCTTGTTGCCTCCATTTCAACTCCGCGCACTTCCAGGCGGTAGATGACCACGCGTCCGTAGAAGTCGGTGCTGCGCTGGAACGTGAGCGCGATGGCCTCCACTTGGCTCAGCTCACACGGGAACTCCTGCAGGTCGTTCGCGTCCTCCGGGTCGACGTCCACGTCCACGAGTTCCCACTGCGCCCCGGATGCTCCTCCGCCCGCTCTCCTCACGTGGACCTGCACGTCCTGACCCACGAACCCGCCCTGGAACATGACGCAGAGGGCGGAGACGTCCACCGCGCGGTGGAACAGCACTTGCACCTGCTGCGGACTGCCCTGCGCCGAGTTCCAGCAGCTCGACAGGTCGGTCGACAGCATGTTCGCAGCGCCGTAGAGCTGCTTGTTGCGGTCCAGCGTGGACGACGCCCGGCACGTCGTGCGCGGGTCGTCACTCAGCGCCACCATTGTAGCCATTTGTTGCACCTCGACCGTTTCACGTTTTGCGTGTCAATCAAAAATGGACCTATGATAGAGCCTAAACCTGGGATTAATCGTTATGTGGTGTGTCAAAACACGAATTTTGTGTGCCCCACACGTTCGAGACTTTTCTCGAATCCGAGCCAGCCGCGTGCAGTCAAAAAGCTTCCGCTAATTAATTAGCACTTACGAGGAAGAGATCATGTCGGAGACCAAGGCTCTGTGGGCGCCCGTCAAGTGGGCGCAGCGCAAGGAGGCGCTGTACGTGACCGTGGACCTGCCGGACGTCAAGGACGAGAAGGTCTCGCTCACCAGCAAGCAGCTCACTTTCAAGTGCGTGCCAGCCAACAAGGACACGATCCCTTAGATTCTATCTGTGGATTTTTACCTAATAAATCCGCTTTTTGCATTGTTTTAGGGGCACGAGCAACGGGCAGCTGTACGAGGTGACGCTGGACCTGTTCAAGGAGGTGGACGTGGAGCACAAGGACAGCATCTGGGCCAAGACGGACCGCAACCTGCACTTCCACATCGTCAAGAAGAACCAGGACGAGGAGTTCTGGCCGCGTCTGCTGGCCGACAAGCACCTGGAGAAGACCAACGTCAAGGTGGACTGGAGCAAGTTCGTGGACGAGGACGAGGACGAGGAGCAGGAGGGCTTCGACATGAGCGCGCTCAACGGCGGCGGCGGCTTCGACATCAACCAGATGATGGCGGCGCAGAACGCGGCCGGCATGATGGACGACGACGCCAGCGACAGCGACGACGAGGACATGCCCGACCTCGACCCCAACGACCAGTAAGTACGTACGTAAATGCAGGCCCGACGACCCCTGAAGGGGTGATAATGAGTGCGCGGCGAGGACGATGGGAATATACTGCTCGCAGTTGCGGCTGCGCTTGGTTGTGTCGTGCGATTTGGTCGGTGCGGATGGGAAGGAATGGCTACGGTGGGCGTAAATTACTCAGATTAGGTAGTTCAAGATGTGTGGTTTGATGGAGTTGCGGACGCTACACTAGGGACGGAGAGAACGTGAAGCACGAGCAGAGCCGAAGTGGCAGACGGCTCACGCGGCCAGGCAGAACATGCCCTTGACCTCGGGGTGTTTCCGGAAGCGCACGTTGGAGAAGAGGATCTTGCGTACCGAGGACTTCCACACTGGAGACTTGCGTTGATCGCTGACCCAAGCAGAATTGCACCACCGTGCATAACAAGGTAGGCGTTAGTCAGATCCGCTTGGTCTTCAACTAACAGCAAAAGGATCAGCGAAAATACCTCTCCAGCTTCCAGTTAAGTTGGCTCTCGTACTCGGCCTCGACGAACTCGCAGATCTCCTTGAAGGAGCCCTAGCTCACAAGCCAAATGCAACGAATCTCGAGTGAGCGCGACCATCAAAATAGCAAGGTTTTATCCAAGGCACGCACTTTGCCTCCAGGCAGAACGGTCAAAGCGTGCGCGATCATATCTCCATACGTCACGCTCGCAACAGGCTTACGATACTCTGAGCGTCAAATAAACCAAGCTGTTAGACACTGCAACCACGTTGTAAACTATGGTGAACCACGTACGGTTTTCCGGAATGTCTGCGGAGTCGTTCTCTTGGCACGCTGGGCAGTACCAAGTCTCCGGCGGTTCTTCCAGGGGGTCCAAGCCCACGCAGCCCATGTGGTACCAATTCGATCGATCCAGGCATTTCTTGTTGTCGCACGCGATCATGTTGCCGAAGCTCGCTCCTTTGCACGTGCAGTAGAGTCTTCCTTTTCGCTTCTTCTTCTTCTGCATCATTTCAGCGTCGCCGCTATCGACTCGTCCGCGGCCATTCGTGCCTCGAGACTTCTTGACCGGGTTCGCTGGCCGCCGCTTCTTGACCACAAACGGACGGAACTCGCCGCCTAGCCCCGCATTGCCATCTTGGCCAAAGTCGAAAAGGTTGTCAATGTCTTCCTCGGCCAACACAGCCTCCATACGCCCACCATTGCTGATTGTCACCTGTCGGCTCTGGTTCTCCTTGTCACCGTCATCGAAGTCGTATTTCTTGCGCTTCAACCGCTGAGCTGGCTGCGCTCGCAACAGCTCCGCCGCTTCGACTGTATCGTTAGACCCCGTGAGCTGCAAATTAAAAACCCGAAATGAGCCTGAAACCTCTTGCAAGCAATCGCCAATAGGTATAACAGTTTGGCACGTACATAAGTCACGAAAGACTTGATGCTGGAGCCTTCCTCAGTTTTTTTGCACTCCTGGTTGAAGTGCCTAAGTAGCAGCAACATTTTGTCATAAAAAACCCGGCGACATTAACGCACATGGTTAGCGCAATTGCAACTTTTAAAGAAATTTGCAGTGGCAATGGCAAAAGCAACTCGAAGACAACGCACCTGGCCACTGTAACTGCCAGTTGCTCGCGTGAGCTGCCAGGCACCTCCGGGATGCCGTGGAACGCCAAATACTTGCGCAGCGCATTGGGCTGGAGCAATTACGCAGTCAAACACACAGCAAACCGTTGCAAAAGTTGCAGCAACCCGGTTAGCACCTTCATCTAACGCATTGCACACAGTTTTCCACCCGAACAGCGGCGCAATGGCACAACTTGAAGCGTCTCAACCCTGGAGAGACGTTCCACATGCAACCGCGTACCCGCAATCGCGTGAAATCCACCGCCATGTTGATCGGATATTGACTGTGCTCCCCTGGCAACACGCACGGCGACGAAGCGCTGGAGCTGCTGGAACTTGCGCTCGCGGCAGGCGCCGGCGCGCCCTGCTGCGGGTCTGCCATGTTGATAGATTCTTGCAACTTAGTGCAGTTCTTTTTTGTGCCGACCGCCGTTTTGGCCAATCCGAGCGCGAGTACGCACGTCACTTCGCATGCATGTCGAAGTCCCTCCAGCAAGAACTTCCTGCACATCGATCTAACCCGGATGGACGAAGCAATGCAACGCAGTAGTTTAGGCTAGTGTTAACCGGCAACTATAAGCATTGTTTGGAGCTGAGTTGATGGGGCGCGCCAAGAGAGTATCCCTTCGCGATATCGAGTCGAGCCGAGTTGAGTCAGGCGGATTGACAAGACCTCTCAACTTCAACCTCATCAAAAGCTTTTGGTGCATCACTTTGCAGCGAAACATGAACATATACTAACTGGCAAGAAATTGCAGCGCGCGGGCGGGTGTGGTTCATACCTAACGATCTGTGTTCAACGACATAGCCTACTTGCCTTCCTTCCTTCCCCTTCAATTACCTTAATCCACGCCATGCGTCTGTCAATACTCTGTGTAGTACGTGGTAGCCTCCTCAAAACTCGAAGCTCTCCATGGGGGTCGGTTTCTTCACGGGCGCCCGCCGCACCACCTCGATCTCGCGCGGGGCCACTTCCACCTCTCGCGGGGCCTCGCGCACGTTCAAGGCCGCCATCTTGGCGCGCTGCTGCTCCATCTCTACCTGCTGCTGGCGCCACTCGGCGTCACGCTCGCGCTGCTCCTGCTTGAGCGCGGCCTCGCGGCGCCGCTGGTGCTCCTGCTGCTGCTTCTGGATCATCTCACGCTTCGCGTCGCCGACCAGAGACGAGCGCGGCGCGGTGGCCGGAGCGTGAGCAGACGCGTCCAAGCTGCCAGACTCGATCAGGGGCGAGGAGGGCGAGGCTTCCGGCTCGTAGTCGCTGTCGTCCGACTCGTCGTCCACGCTGAAGTGCGAGTTCATCTGTTGAGTCATGCGGAACGCGAGATCCTCCTGCTCCTGCTGCATCCTGAGCCTGAGCGCCTTCTCGCGCTCGGCACGCTCGCGCGCGTGCTCCTCGCGTTTCTGACGCCGCTGCAGCTCCAGCAGATCCTCGCCCTGCTGCGGCTTGAGCTTCTCTTGCACGGCCAGCTCGTGCGCGAGCCGCGAGTTCCGGATCGCCTCCTGTTCCTGCTCTTGCTGGAGCCGTGCGGCTTCCTCGGCCTCCCGCGCGCGCTGCAGCTCCATGGCCTGCTGCATCTCAAGCTCCTTCTGCCTCTGCATCTCGCGCTCTCTCTGCGCACGCTTCTCCTGCTCCTCCTGGAGCTGCAGCTCCTCGGCCGCGGCGAGCGCGGCCTCATGCGCCGCCTCCTCTTGTTGCCTGGCCAGCTCCTCCTCCTGCTCTCGCTGCTGCTGGGCCGCCAACTGCCTGCGCATCTCGGCGTCCTGCTCTGCCTGGCGGTGCTGCTCTTCCTCCTGACGGCGGATCTGCTGCTCGTACCTGATCTCCTCCTGGCGCTGCTGCTTCTCGACTCTGCGCTGCTCCTCGAGCTGCTGCTGCTTCATGCTCTCCGCCTGGGCGATCTGCAGCTCGTGCTCCTCCGCTGAGGGCCGCACGTCCGCGCCCACGCTGTGGCGCTGGTTGATGCCGCGGCGCGGCACCGAGAAGTTCTGGAAGTCGCGGATGCTCGGGTTGCTGTTGACGCTGGGGATGGAGGCGGCGGCCGCGCGGCCGTCGTGGGCGATGTTGTTGTCGGAGGCGGGCGCGGGCATGGACGCGCGCTGCATGGGCTGGCCCGAGTTGATGCGGAAGGCCAGCACGAGCTTGTCCACCCAGTCGTTCATCTCCATCTCCGTGCCGGCGGCCACGAGCAGGCGCCGCTCAGGCGCGTTGATGGCGATGCGCCAGATGGTGGAGGCGCTGCTGCCGGTCTTCATGCTGTCGGCGGGCATGACCTCCAGCACGCCCTCGTCGCAGCCCTGCAGGCTCAGCTCGCCCTTGAGCTCGCCGTCCTCGAACGTGAAGTACTGCAGGCGCGCGGGCGTCAGCACGAAGTAGCGCGGCTTCCAGTTCTTGCGGCCGAACGGGCCCGTGCCCGAACCCTTCTTGAACAGCACGCCCGTGCGCAGGATCTGGCCGTCGCTCATGGCCGTGGTGGGGAGGTAGTGAGTGTGTGCGTGTGTGTGACTGGGACTGACACGAGTGATCGATGGAGTCGAATCCCAAAGTGGCTGAAGGGAAGAAAACAAAAGAGCGGATGCGCTCGGCTAAGTGCGATATACGCACGGTATACTGGAGCCAAGTCAAGCTCGATTTGATTAGTGAGAGGCGGCGCCAGATGGCATGGAAAAGCTATGTTTTTGGGGCGCCGGGGCTGGTTGCTTGGTGGTCGTTGTGCTGTGCTGTTGGTTGCGCCGTGCGTGTTCGTACGTGCAGTAATGAATGCGTGAGGGACATTAAGCCATAGGGCGGAAATTTTAGCCCAGCTCAGCTGGATTCGGCCCGGGATTGTCGGCTGGTCCCAATGGACACGGAGCAACGATTGTACTATGAATTTTCAGGGTTTTCTGAAGTTTGACGCGGTGGAATCGCCCGACAAGACCATGCTCTTTTGCGTCGATGGCCTCTGCGACGTTCTACGGGGATGCCTGCGGTATCATCCACGCCGCGCCGCGAGCGAGCGGGGGGCTGCCGCTACCGGCTAGCCGGGCGAAGAAAATCCAATCTAACGTCACTTTGCTGAGGAATTTCCATAAATCAGTGATTTTCACTGAGATTTGACAAAACCTGAATTCACTGATGCAGCATCAGTAGTATCGTACTAGCGCATCCATACAATTTGCAAGTCAAATGTAGACCTATAGTAATACTAGAAATAGTACATGTAGATAGTATTTTATCTACTACAACTAATACTACATAATATAGTATCACTGTCGATGTTATTAGTACATACTCCGGTTGCTACGGTACAGTAGACAGGCGACCCCAACCAGTGGCACTTACGTGATTTCTGAACTATGCTTGAAGCGCATACCCCCTTCCTTCCTAGTTTTTGGTTTTCATGCATCGATAGTAGCTTCAGATGAAATATGTTATTTTTAATAGACCAACGTTTTGTGAAGCCAAGCACCCAGCCCTATAAAAGTGATAAAGTAGCAATGAGGACAGCCTTGCGGAATGCCAACCGCTTCAACCTCCGCTACAGGTCCTCCGTCCACGGGTCCACGGATCCTGCAATCTCAGGAATGAACCGCGTTCGAGTTGAGCGAGATTGTGTTGTGCGAGTTAAGTTTGGGTCCGCAGAAGATGATAATGGTCGACGGGCGAAAGGCTCATAAACATCCTGGTAGGCTCTTAGTCAATGTAGCAGGAGATGCGTTGTAATGGAAACGCAAATTTACATACCACAGATACTGTAGGTAACAGGTAATCCGTAGATTTCAGAGCTTCTTCGTGCAACACGCGCGACTTTGTATCTCGTTGAATTGCGATAGCGATAGTGACTGCGCCGCCGCGGTGAAGATGCTCACACTAAGTTCTATAGCTATCCCAGCCTATGCATAGCTCTCGTCTTCATTTGATCGGCTACAAATAATCGGATGTAGGTTGCACTAGCAGCTTTACTCCTACCCCAGAATAAATGTAGTATGTAAATAGAGACATCTTACCAAAAAAATAAACGCAGGTCGTGTAAAAGTCTCGTTGAGGATGATATTATATTGTGCTGCGATATAGTAACTACTAGTAGTGTATTGGCAACTTATAAAGTGGCGGATTCCCACAACGTAGAAAGACAAAGTACTTCCGCACCCACCTGCAAACATTGTGTGCGTCACAAGGTTTTCGGTTCATGTTCTTAGTTTAATATGTCGGATCCCATCGGTACTCAGTTCTTTCAAGTCTCTTACCGCGGCGACTCTGCTCGGATGTGAAGGGGGGAAACATGTCGACGCATAGTTAAGTAGGCTACGGCCTTCGTCGTGGTGTCTGCTTCCTTCACATCGACTGGGGCCTTGCCCAACGAGAGCCTCGCGGTACACTTCGAAATAATATAGTAATCGAAAGAAGCGATTAAATACTACTGTAGTATTACTATTTACCAAATCACTGAGTAGTTTCAAGCTATCACAATCATTTTGTCAAATCTCAGTGAAAATCACTGATTTATGGAAATTCCTCCACTTTGCTCGCTTATCAAGCCCTCGTTTGTGGCGAGTGCTCGGTTTAACAAGCGGCAGGTGTCTATCCAGGTCTTAGTAAGCTCTCTCTACGTCGGCCCTCTCTATCTACTTACTAGCGCCACTCGGTGAGCCGCTTCATGGCGCCGCACTTGTTGCAGGCGGACGCGTGCTTGGAGTTCATGTGACCGCAGCCAGCCTTGCTGCACTCCCACTTGTCCGACGTCGTGATGGCCGTCGCCGACACAGGAGCGGGCAAACCGCACGCGTGCGCTGTACCCACGGGTTCCTTCGCCGCCTCCCGCTTCTGCAGCTGCTCGAAGAAACTCCTCGCGTCTACCGGCGCCTTCTCCTGCTGCTGCTGCTGCTTCTCGTCTACCTGTTCGAGCTTCGTTGTTGCTGGAGATCCTTCGCCCTCCGCTCCTTCCAGTTGCTCCTTTTTGTCCTTCTTGTGCTTGTGCTTCTTGTGGCGCTTTTTCTCCTCCTTCTTGGCTCTCTTCAAGTGCTTCTTGTGCCTCTTGAGGCGCCTCTCCTCCTCGTCTAGTGAGCGAGAGGACCCGCTGCTGCGGCTCCGGGAGCGACTGCGCCTCCTGCTCTCACGCCGGGGGTCGACGGGGCTCCTACTGCGGCTCCTGCTGCGTCTGCTCGGCCTCCAGCCATGGCTGCGGCTCCTGCTTCGGCTCGGAGAGCGGCGGCGACGGTCGCGCGGCAGACTGCGGCTTCGACTTCGGCCCATTGGAAACTGCACCGGCACTGTCCCGACTCAAGTGCCCCAAACCCCAATGGCTCCACTCGTGAAATCGATGCATCGCTCGAAGTGTGCGATAGCGTTGCGAGGCGCCTGGTGCTTGGACGGAGAGCGAAGCAACTTGAACCGTAGCTTCTCGTAGGCTACAGGAAACTCGCACTTGTAGCGCAGCAAGCAATGGCCAGATGCATCCCAGGAATGACAATCGTATGAATTGCTACGCTGTACAGTATTAAAAGCCGCATAGCTTCAGAGCCTACAAACCAAAGGACAAAGGCAACATCAACCGTCAAAACACTGCACTGCACGTACAGTCCAAAAGTGTCGGCCGTCTTTTGATCCAATACGTAGTATCCATAGTATCCATATAGTTAGCCCTATCGCTCAGCCACTTCCACTCGGCGCTCTTGCGTGAGGCGGTCCATGTAGTCATCGAAGCTAGGTTTAAAGCCTTGCCAACGCTTTTGGGGGACACGCCCGCAACCTTTCAGAGCTTGCTGAACTGGCGGGTCTTGTTGTCTGCGGGTTGCGTCTCTGGGCCTCGTCACAGATACAGCCCTCCTGCTTTCAAAGTTGCTTTTTTTAAAAGCTTACTTAGTAAAGCTTTTAAAAACTTGGCCTCAAGCTTGATGCTTTCACTGTAACCGGCTACGGTATACGGCCCAGGCCCTGGACCCCGTATCCAATTGCTGTGAAGGCGAATGGCTACCAAAGTTCAAACTCCATCTTCAGACTGAAGTTCAGCTCAACCAACGCCTTCAACGTCACCAAGCCCGTTAGACCCAACACGGCGAGCACTTGTGCGATAGAGTTACATCCCCCATAAAAAATAACCGCGCTTACGGGTTGTGGAGGGCGTTCGCATAACCTTACCGTGCGCGCCGTGGTGACCAAGATGAATGCTGTTCAGCGAGCCGAGGGAGCACTCGGTCGCGACATGTTCGCATCTCGCGCTCCCCATCTAGTCAGCACCCAAGCGACACGGCCACCGCCGATTGGCTGGTGGCGGTTTGTTAAAGACCGATGCGTGCCAGAACGTGCCCATAATGGGAAAATATCTGCCTGAAAGTCCACAGTAAAATGACAATATCCTCCGGTTTCGACAATACATTTATTTTTCGCGATCAAGCTCTGTCAAATGTTGTCAAGCCGCGTCGACGACCGTTACAAAACTTCAGATTTGGCTGGCTGCGCTGTGACCTGTGACCCGCTTCTCCTCCTGGGCAGCGGCTCATTCCCGCTTCGGCCACCAACCGCTCGGATCCTTCCTCGCTCAGCCACCCGCACACAGATCGATCACCATGGGCAAGGGACAGCGCGCGCGTAAGGCCGCGGCCGACGCCATGCTGGCCGCCGCCATGGCGCAGAGCAAGCCGTCCGTGCTGGAGCAGGAGTACCACGCGCCGTCGTCGCTGCAGGTCGTGGCGCCCAAGGCCCCGTCGGGTCTGGGCGTGGTCGTGCCGCCCGTGCACAAGAAGCCGTCGCCGCCGCCCTCCGAGACGTCCGCGTCCTCGTCGGACGACAGCGACGAGTTCCGCGAGCTCGCGTCCGAGGAGCAGCGCGAGGCGCTCAAGGCGCTCGAGGACGCGGAGGCAGCCAAGGCGCAGCTGAGCCCCATCCTGTCGCGCCTCGTGGCTGCCTTCTCCTCCAAGGGCGAGCGCAACGCCGCCGCCGCTGACATTGTGGCGGCCGTGGAGGTCCTGGGCGTGGCCAGCCCCGCTGCCATCCACCTGCTCGACGAGATCAAGAAGTTCCTCGTGGCCAAGCCCACCACCGCCCGCGAAGGCGCGCTGCTGGCCGTTTCCGCTCTGCTCAAGAACGAGCAGCTGTCGTCCGTGATGGAGCCCGTCGTGGTGGAGCAGCTCATCACCATCATGCAGCGCTACGCCGACTCGGAGCACGTCGTGAAGAACGTCGCGGCCTCGCTGGCCAAGACGATCGCGCAGAAGGCGAACCCGCTCGCGATCCACACCGTGCTCAAGCAGATTTACAAGGCGCTGGAGCTGCGCCAGTGGCAGAGCAAGGTCGCCGCGCTCAACCTGCTGAAGGAGCTTAGCGAGGCTGCCAGCGAGGAGGTGTCTGGCTGGCTGCCGGAGATCATGCCGATCGTGACCGAGTACGTTTGGGACACGAAGAAGCAGGTACAGGCCGCCTCCATTGAGGCGCTGATCGCTGTCTGTTCCAAGATCAACAACGACGACGTCGTGCCGCTCGTGCCCACTCTGGTGGGTGTCATCGCTCGCCCCGAGGAGACCATGAAGGCCATTGACAGCCTGCTGGCCACCACTTTTGTCGCCAACGTGGACGCGCCGACGCTGTCTCTGATTGCGCCGCTGCTGCACAAGGCCCTCCGCGACACGAGCATCCACAGCTCGTCGCTGAAGCGCAAGGCGTCCAAGATTATTGACAGCATGTGTCGCCTTGTGGTGCGTCCGTCGGACGTGATGCAGTTCGTGCCGCTGCTGCTCCCGCAGCTTGAGACGGCCATTGACCGTTTGATCGACGAGGAGGTCGTTGAGGCCGCCAAGGAAGCTCGCGCTCACCTGGTGCACGCCGCTGGTGATGGCGAGGCGATGGAGGAGGACCCCATTGAGATCCGTAACAAGCTGGAGAACGACATCCACACTGCGTTCACCGACACGCTGGACCGCCCGACGCACTCTGGCCTGAACGACTTCACCCTTGCGTATGTCTCGGACGTGTGCACGGAGCTGGCCACCCAGAACCGCGGCTCGGAGTGGCGCGAGATCGTCATGGCTTACCTGCAGCCGCACATGCACCACAAGGACGCGGAGCACATCTGCGAAGCTCTGCGCGCCGCCGGTGGCGGCCTGGGCGAGGAGCGCGAGAAGTCCACGGACCCCAACGACGTGTGCGACCTGGACTTCTCCCTCGCGTACGGTGGCAAGATTCTTCTGCGTAATGCCCGCCTTCGCTTGACTCGCGGCCACCGTTATGGTCTGATCGGCCAGAACGGTGTGGGTAAGACCACGCTCATGCGCAACCTGGCCAATGGTGCCATTGAGGGCCTCCCGGAGACCCTGCGCTCGGTGTACGTGCAGCACGAAGACATTGTCGAGAGCCAGGGAAGTCTGCTGGAGTCCATGTGCAAGGCCCCGGAGCTGTCGCACCAGACCCGCGAGACTGTCGAGAAGACTCTGGTGGACATTGGTTTCACACAGAAGATGCTGGATGGCGAGATTGACGCGCTGTCCGGTGGTTGGCGCATGAAGCTGGCGCTTGCTCGCGCCATGCTGTACAACGCCGACGTGCTGCTGCTGGATGAGCCGACGAACCACCTCGACGTGCATGCCGTGCAGTGGCTGGTGGACTACTTGAACTCGCTCGAGACGATGACGGTGCTGCTGGTTTCGCACGACACCGGGTTCCTGGACAACGTGTGCACGGACATCTTCCACTACGAGTCCAAGAAGCTGGTGCTGTACCCGATGACGCTGTCCAAGTTCGTGGAGATCCACCCGGAGGCCAAGCACTACTACGAGCTAAAGTCGTCTGACATGGTGTTCAACCTGCCGGAGCCTGGCCGTCTCGAGGGCATCAACTCGATGACGCGCCGTATTCTGACGCTCGACAATGCCACGTACACGTACCCGGGCGCGTCCAAGCCGCAGCTGAACGACGTGTCGGTGAAGTTGTGTCTGGCGTCGCGTGTGGCTGTGATCGGTGTGAACGGCGCCGGTAAGTCGACGCTGATCAAGATGATCGTGCAGGAGACGTCGCCCGACACGGGCACCTTCTGGAAGCACCACGCCGTCCGTGTGGCGTACGTGGCGCAGCACTCGTTCCACCACGTGGAGAAGCACCTCGACAGCAGTCCGGTCGAGTACTTCCAGTGGCGTTTCGGCGGCGAGAACGGTGTCGACCGCGAGCTGAGCGACCACGTGAACCTCAAGCAGACGGAGGAGGAGAAGAACCTCGTGGGCAAGAAGCAGGGCCAGGTCGAGAAGATTGTGTCCCGTACCAAGGGCAAGCGCGGCACGCTCGAGTACGAGTGCAAGCTCGTGGGCATGACGGAGCGCCACAACAAGCGCTACACGCTCGAGCAGCTCCAGGAGATGGGCCTGGGCGCTCTGGCCGAGGCGGAGGACATCCGTCAGGCCACGCTGGCCGGCGGCCTGGACCTGCGCCCGCTCACGACCAAGGAGATCCAGCGTCACCTGGACGACTTCGCGCTGCCGGCCGAGTTCGGCACCCACGGCAAGATCCGCGGTCTCTCGGGCGGCCAGAAGGTGAAGCTTGTCATCGCCGCCGCCATGTGGAACCGTCCGCACTTGCTGGTGCTGGATGAGCCGACGAACTACCTGGACCGCGCGGCGCTGGGCGCGCTGGCGGACGGTATCCGCCAGTACGCGGGTGGTGTCATTATGATTTCTCACAGTGAAGAGTTCTACAACTCGCTGTGCACGGAGAAGTGGCTCGTGGAGTCCGGCCGCCTGACGATCATCGGTGAGGCCCAGGAGAAGGAGTACCGCGCCGGCGGAGGCCGCAAGGTGGTCGAGGAGGAGCCCGAGGAGGAGAAGAAGGTGGGCAGCAACATCAACGCGTCCATGAAGCGCACTAAGCTCACGAACCCCAAGACGCTGCGGCCGCTGAGCAAGCAGCAGATCCGCAAGCTCAGCAAGCTCTGTAAGGCCGCGGGTGTGTCCTTCGACGACTACGTGGACGGCCTCACGCGCGAGAGCCCCGAGTGGAAGTGGCTGTAAGTGATAGACCTAACTTACTATTGAATCAATAGACGACCGACGCTTTTGTACGTGCAGCTATGATGGAAATCGCGGGGAGAGATGGTCATCTACATTCCTATTGCGACGCTAGGAAATCCAGTGGAGTCTATGCCTAGGCGAGGTACTTGAAAGGAAGGGTGGAAAAACACACTACTAATACATTAGTTTGCGAGCTTTATTTTTATCTTGATTTTTGTATGGTGTGGCTCTTGGCGATAATTGTGACGCGGTGCAAAATACGTTGGTTTGTATACCAGGCTGGTATTACCAGTCCTTTTAAAAAGTTCAAAATCGGCAGCGCTAACACATACACTGTGCTTTAGTAAATAATACCAAGCACATATCTAAATAGCACGTCATAACTCTAAAAATTGACCGAGAAACGGCCCAAGATGTACCCTGGCGATACTTTATGACGCGGAGTGTATGGTAAAGCAAATTGCATAAGGGTATTGTGAATTCCGGCCAAATTTGCCGAATCGGGTCGGTTTGGGGTCTGTCCAACCGACCAATACAAACATCAAGTCATTTGCCGAATCGCCGGCCAACAAACATATGGATAAATATCGTGACGGTGCCGACACAATTTTTTTACTTGATTTAAGCATAGGCAGACTGACCGCAATGCATGTATATTGACCAATGACATCTAGATATACCCAATATCGGCCAATGAGCTTGATTAGGTGTAGGGTAAAACGATGCCGACGTCGTGCCGACGTATAATGTAGGCACGGGGGCGAAAATATGCAGGGCGTCAATACGAGCCACCAGTCTACTGCTCATCACTCGAATATCTGCCCTCTTGCCGACAGAACACTCGGAACCAGTATGAGCCTCCAAGACCTCGCCCCCGCCAACTCCCAGCGCGCTCTACAAACCGCAATCAACGCCTTCGGACGCTTCGTCGCGACCCAAGGCGTCTCCATGGACTTCATCGCTGCCTCTCTCGCAGATGATAAGAGTGGGGCTGTGTTTGTGAAGCTCATGGACCGCTTTGGCGTTCATCTCGCCTTCGTCGAAGGCCGAGGAGGGAAGCCGCTGGCCAAGAACTCGGTCATGAGCTACTACCGCCATGTAAAGAACTGGCTGCTCGACACCTACCCGACCCACCGAGCCACCATCGAGAAGAAACTACTCAAGATGGGACAGACGCTCGAGCGCCATTGTCTGAAGCGCATCGAAGGTGGAATGGTCAAGAAGGCGCCTGCCTGCAGGAAGGAAGACCTACGAATTCTCATGGTCGGACTCTACTATGATGCCACCAGCCCCAAGGACTACCAAGATGCCGCGTTACTGGCGCTGATGTGGTACGCGTTTGGCCGCGCCTCAGACCTGGGGTTCGTGGTGAAGGGAAACCTGTCTGTGAGTGCGGATGGCGTTGTGTTCGTCCGGCTCATCCGCGTGAAGACTTCAGACGAGCAGTGCATCTCTCTCTTTCCCGACAAGAACAGCTTCATCACGTGCCCCCTGCATGCGATTGCGATGGCCCTGGTGATGCAGGACGCTCCGTGCGCACAGCTGCTGGATCATCCGCACCTTGCCGCAAGCGGCGACGAGAGTATGACAGCCCCTGTTGACGTGCCACTAGCTGAGCTCTTGTTGCCTGTGAGAACGACGACACGCCAAGTGAGCCGCCTCAGAAAAAGCGTAAACTGCCTGAAGAAAACATGAAGATCCACGCCTACGTGAACCGCGTTGTCAAGACAGCGTCTGCCGCTCAAGCTAAAGCGGTGCCAACTGCAAACTTGACGTCTCACTCGTTTCGACGTGGTGGGGCTCAGCATGCAAACGGTGATCCACTGCTCAGTGCTCAGTGGATTTTCGATCATGGTTCGTGGAACATGACGGCTACCAACAAGGCTTTCGCTTACGTGTTCAACACAACCAGTGAAGACCAGAAAGTAGCACGTGTTCTCAGCGGGTGGGACTCGAGCAAGGAGCCACCGGTTCCAACCCTCTCCTGGCTCGACTCCGCCAGCCGGCAGCAGGCACTGAGCTTGGGAAATCTTCTTTTCCAGCCAAGCGTGTGCACCCAAGACCCCGAGAAGAAGCTCAACGCCCGCGTCGCTGAAGTTCTGACTGCCGCGCTGATCCAGCATTTTCCCGAGGTACTCGAGCGCTACCCGATGTGCCCGTACGCTACCCGGATGCGCGAATGCCTGATGGCGTTGGGTTTACCAAAAGCTCAAGTTCTCGCGTGGAGCTCTGAACTACAGGCGAAGGTGGCACAAAAGGATCTGGAGGAATCTCAAGACGACACGGAGGCATTCACAAGAGAAGAAAAGCTGATCAATCACCAGAACTGCATCATCGGCGAGCTGATAGCCATGAATCGAGCCTTGACCGAGCGGGTCACCCAACTGGAGAGTCAGCGCGAAGTTGGTCAGGGTGACTCCTCGACAAGTTTGCCGGCACCGGTGGTGGCAGCACAATCGCATTGCGAGGATTCCGCTACTGTATCGAAGTCGTGTGGAAGCAAGGCTCTCCCGAAAGGCCCAGCGGCTATTTGGTTTGAGTGGTACGCAAAAACACTGCGTATGTGGGACGTGTGTGCGGATCGGCAGAAAAAATCAGCGTACAAGCACACCGTGAACTGCATGAAGCTCTTCTTACCAAACGGCTTCGCGCTGGACCCGTCGGCCCCTGACTACACCAACCAAGTTGTTCGTACCGGAATTGAGGCCGAATCCGGGATGTACAGATTTCTCGAAGAGCACGGAGTCAAGAGCAAACTTGGATCAGGTGTACTCAAGCAACTGCGCAAGTTTTTCCGGGAAAGCAAGCTCAACGCTCTAGTAGACGCGTACCGTGCTCGCGTTGCTGTCGCAGGCGTAACGGACCCAGCGTCCAAGGAAACGCAAGAGCTGTTTACACGGAAGTAGTTGAGTTATAGTTTCTAACGTGGGGCTATAATAAATGTTCTGCACCGCTACACATTACACTTCGATAAATGTATAGCGTACAGCATGTAGTGCGCGTTTGACTTTCGTACGCAACTGCTGGAACGCCACAGAGCTTCATAATATCGATCTACTCTTAATCAGCTCATGCATTTGACAAGATCTTGCACTGCAGTCGAGGCGGTGTGCTACCACTCTGAATCTTTACTGTAGCCATTTTAATAGTAAAAAATAAGAGTGCTTCTGTCTTAAAGGATATTTTATGATTACCCAGAGGTTGCAGATTAAACAACGGTTTTGCGTAAAACTAGGATTTTATTGTTGGTAGTTAATCGGCTCGACCGCGTAAACACAGCCCAGATCAGCAAAGAAGTGGCGTAATCCGTCTTCGGTACTTGGCTTGTAGACGAGCTCGTCCGAGTCGATGAAGTAGTGCTTGTTGCCCACCGCCGCGCCAGCGATGCAGTGCCAGGTACCCTCTTCTTGGCCAAAGGGCCTACCGATGATCACAAGGTGCCTAAAACTAGACCTAGGAATCTTCTTGAACCACCTTTGCGAACTGCAGTTGAACGTGTTGGTACTGTTCAGGTACCGCAGCTGATAGCCCTTGGCGCGAAGCGCTTCATGCAGTGCTTGCATAGAATACGCCCCGTACTTCTCATCGCCATGGGGGGCTGGCCCTTCTTCCTCGGGTGCAGCCGCGTTAAGACGACGCACGATTGGCACCAAATCCTCGACGGTTAAAAAACGTGGGTTTGCACCGCATTGTTGATCGAGTACGATCCATAGAGAGAATATCTCTCGGATGTACCGCTCTGATTCTCACACATTGGACCGCCCCTAGTCCGTCTACCCACAATGGATTGCATCTCTGTTCGTGGAAGGTCTAGCAAATCGCCGGACGTGAAGAGAGACGCGCACCAAAAAAAAAACTCCCCACTCTTACTTAGCACTGACGTGAAATCGCTAGCAAATCGCCGGCGGGGTGAGCGCAAAAGCAAAAGTGAGAAGGACTGCATCGCTGCATCGAAGGCGACGAGCGCTAACCAACCGTGTAAATTTCAATGCTTTTAATACAGTACAGCCAGATGGACTCTCGAAAAATGAGAAATGTATTGCGTTTTTGTATGTTACGCAGCGCTAATGCTGCTGTTTTAATAGCCAACATGCAAACGCTTAAGTTGGTAATAGCGGCAGAATTACAGGTGTCAGGCTGTTACTGCCTGACACCTGCAATCCAGGATTTGCTCTGGCACTGCTGGAGCAGTGGCGCATTTGATTGCTAACCGCCTGGGCCCCATGCCCGATGTGCATGATGTGTCTGCTTTTTTTTTAGCCAATCCCAGCTTGTAGGCACTCTGTCGGCCGATGTCGGCACCGTCATGGTATGGTTCTGTGCCGCCCGATCCGTGCTTAGTAGAGAGTCAAGGGGGCATAGCCGGGCGACCATAGTCAACCCAAGTGCTTTGGCGATTCGCCGGCGGTTTGCCACGGTCGATTCAATCCGCCCCGCTCGGAAAATTTGAGTAGAACTCACAGTACATACAGGCGTTACGTGTTTGGCTACTCTTCAAGAGTACGCCCAATGAGTCAGCGGCAATGACTTATATTGTGTCGAATTGCACTATTGAAAACACAAAAGGGATCGATTTATCGTAGATCGGCCTCGTTATGCTCAAATCCACGAGGAAATCGATCTCGAGCCCTGATTTGGATTGTCGTAGCTCGAGTTATTAGCCGGCCTACTAAGTAAATAGATCGATCTGTCCCTTTCTTTGACCTCGTTTTATTAAATCGACCTCGACTTAATAATAAATCGAGGAGGGCTCCAAGTCAAAACGACAAAAACGTTTGCAAAGCACAATACAAATTTAGGATGTAACTGTGGGCGTTTTCTGAATGCCGCCTCTAAAGTATATTCTAAGCCAGTAACACTAGTGTAATATAGGATACAAATAACATACATTTGAGTGATGTATCGACGACACAGATAAGTTTTAATGTGAAAGGCTCAAGCAATTGGCTCTTAATAAACCTGCACTTAGTCATACCAAACGCTCACCAGCGTCTAGCCTGATCCACGATGTCTGTAACGGGGTTACTTGCAAGGGTACCCTTTGG